ATAGTCACGTCGATATCAGTCGAAGGGTTTGCCGAATAGAGACCTTTGAATTTTTCAAAGTCATTCGGTAGTCATTTTTCGAAAGCATATATCTGCCGAACTGCAGGAATCTGAGTGACCATATTCATGTCAGTTTGAGTTTATGCACATGTCGGCTACATGTAATAGTCACGTCGATATCAGTCGAAGGGTTTGCCGAATAGAGACCTTTGAATTTTTCAAAGTCATTCGGTAGTCATTTTTCGAAAGCATATATCTGCCGAACTGCAGGAATCTGAGTGACCATATTCATTTCAGTTTGAGTTGATACACATGTCAGAGTCTTGCCAGAGTCACGTCGATATCAGTCGAAGGGTTTGCCGAATAGTGGCCTTTGAATTTTTAAACATATCTTACGCCGATCGAATGAAATCACTTGAAAATATGACGGATTTTTACGAAATTGTCGCATACATTAAAAGTGTTTCCATTTTAATCAAAGACCTCCCTCTCATAGTCCTTTCCATTTTCAAATAACAAACATTAGTCGAGCGGTTTAATTGAATTTGCTGTGTGAGGTTTTAATGATTCCTCTATATGAATGCTGTGGTGTGTCCCTGAAGTGTTCAAAGTTTACGTCCTTGTACGCCCTTTCCTTGCAATTTTCGTCCTTATCTGTGTATTTTACGAATTCTCCGTTTTATCGAACGGAGCGAGTTTGTTGAATGAAAATACGAGCAAACGATAATATACATAAATATAATACATACATATGTAAGCTACATACATGTATATACACACGCATACATAGTACAAGACATATGTATATAAATACACATATACGACATGATTATATTAGTAATGAGAGATAAATACGAATAATATAATCAACGTGAAGTTCAACAGCTCATTTCGTCCATCTGCTGGGTAGATTGATCTTTCCGACGGTCCTCTTGGGACGCTTTACGATATGTACCATTCTGTCCACATGACGGTCCCGGTTAAATGATTTTCTCTCAGTGGTTTCCTTTAAAAGTCGATTGAAAATGTTAAGTCATATTGCTTAATTTATTTGAAATTCGTTGCAAATTCTACTTATATTTTCTTCTATCACACGTGATATTCGGCAATTAGAAATGTATTACGTTCCAGTTGTTTTAAGTTATTTTGCTCAAGTACTTACTGCCATCTTGTTATAACATCGCCAACAGAAATATGAAGTTGTATAGGTCAGTGGTATTCAACCATTTTTTGTTCGCGTACCCCCAGATATAATTTCTCTTCAACTTTGTACCTTTTTAAATTTCACGTACCCCCTAAGATGTCTTCGCGTACCCCCAGATATAATTTCTCTTCAACTTTGTACCCCCAAAGTTGTTGGTGTATAATTCAAGTTATACATAGTATATAATCTACATCTAAAATAAATTAAATAAATTACATTACTCATTATTCAGTGTTTATCATAAAATAATTATTTTTTTTAAATTTCACGTACCAACTAAGATGTTTTCGCGTACCCCAGGTTGAATACCACTGGTATAGGTGATAGTGGGCTGTCCTATCTTACCTTTCTATTTGTTTATCCTAGGATATTGCATTGAACGTTGCCTTCCTTAACGCAAATTCTTCTTTTTTGATAACACACTCTGAACCACCTTAACAAAATATTCTGGTATAAGTCGTCTGACCAAGGAGTGCCTGTGGTCAGCTTAGAAAATCCTGCCTGGTTGCGTGCGCACTTGTAACCTCTGCTTCCCCCTAGAGCCATCGTACGAAGTAAATCAGCAGTCATCGATCAGATGGGATATACACCTCAAATTTATTAAGGAGAAACCATTTTGCTCTTATATCATTTGATTTATTATTTTTTATAATTGTATTTCGTGTGATATTTTTCACAAATTTGTACGCTGAACTTAAAGACCTTATTTTCCTATAATTATTGAAAATCGCTTTGTCTCCCTTCTTAAAATTTTTTTTACTAAAATTGCTGTGTTCCACTCCTCAGATGTGTAAAAATAATTTCTGACAAATAGGCCCGTTTAAAGGAATTAAAAATCTATAGTGGACAGTGGGCCCTGCGTACTTTTTAAATTCAACATTTATGCCGCCATAACCAGGAGGTTTTCTTGTTTTATCAAGTTTCTGTTTCCTATAATTCTTCTGGGTCAACATTTTCATCTATCATACAATTAACCTTGCATCCAATATTTTCTTCTCAGGTCCAGAGTTCATTATAGTATCTTGCCCAATGTTTTTGCTGTAATGGGGTTTAACCGGAGTTTATCTTTATTTAATTTAATTTATTTAACATTTTATAACCTCTCCTGGACCACGTACACCATCTTGAATATTACGTATAAGCCTATCGTAATTCCAACTATTTCTGTTGTGGGGGTTTATATTTATTTTGTATTTACATGCAATTTTAAACTCTAAGGAATTCAGGACGCACTCAGAGTAAAAAGGACAGGTTAGCTATTGGTCTATGCTCACAGAATTAAACACATTAATATAGCATATAGAGAAACAAACTGTTCTCTATTATACATTGGCATGGTCGTACCATAGCTCAGGATACGGATTTTTGTTACGGAGTCCCTGGTTTGTGTCCGGGTTAGTCCACGGCGTATTTATGGTAGGTAAAGCGTCACTGAGACAGGATTTTCTCCTCAGATACATAAGTCTCATCCCATCTCAAGAATAATAAGAAATGAGAGCAGAAAAAGGCCTAGCCTAGTATAGGCCGTGTTTACGTCTTCTCACCAGATTACGCAACAAAACAACAAATAGCAAATCAGAATCGAATTCCTGAAGAGGTTAAACGTAATTTGTCGTAAGGGTTGTTTGTTATTCAGTTCAGAATTTTCGTTCTTTCCGTCTTTAACTTGGAAACCTTAAAATTAAAACATAAAAAGTTATAAATCTTCCCGTACGTTCGTCTGAATGTCAAATTGGATGTTTCACTCAGAAGAATAAACTTAGAAAAATTTTATCCGAAAACAGAGCATAATATTTTAAACTGAAAGACAGAATAAATAACAGAAATATAATTGGTCTGATTATACCAGGGAGTATGAGATGTATTAATTATATTAATTCTTCATATTAATAAAGGTGAGAGAAGTATGTATTTAAACGTTTCGTAGAACGAAGATTTTGGAATTAGTAACAGCAGTTAGTTACATCAACTTTCGTAAATAAAAAGTTTCTTAAAAATTTAAGATGGATCAGTCTGAGAATAGATACATATTGTATGACAACTAAATAGTCGGAAATAGACTGACAGAAGATGATTCATAATCTCCTGATAACACGAAAATAGATAATTTTCGTTCCAAAGGATATTTTACAAACGTAAATTCAGCTGTGGGGATGTCGGTTGTTGATTAATCGTCTGGTTTGTTAATTGGTGGTATAATGGTGCCCCATTCCCTATCTGACGAAGACGGTACTGTAGTTAAGAACAACGACCCGACAGTGAGTCGAGGTTAACATTCACAGACAAAAGCGAAAGTGGATACTTAAAACGTAAATATGTTAAATATGGTTTTATGGGTATTCCAGGAGACCGCAGTCGAGAATAGTAAATGTGTTTAATATAACTTATTTGTTTTTAAAAGTTGGTTTATCGTTTTTAGTACATAAAATATATCATCATACAACTTTTACATAAAATATTTTTCAACAATCGATACCTTTAGGATCGAGGCTATCGATAGGTGCATGGATAAATCCTCTCGTCGATTAGTTGACTTTACACCGCCATGGAAGAAGGTGGCACTGATAGTAACTCCACTGACACGGTATGTACGGGAATGTTTATTTAATAAAACTAAATGTAAGAAAATGCCACGTTATATAATACAGTATCTTAGTCAGAAAAGCTTTGAAATTTATAGAGAAAATATAATAATGAAAAACACTTTTCAAATTTCAATTAAATTTAGCTTTTGGAGTTAAAACTAAGCTTTCTTCCGATGGTTTAATTTTTCATATCAGTCCCATATAACGTCTTTTTACATGCATATCAATTCGAGCTACGTCGATCTTATCAGAAACAGTTGATTCATTGTAAACGCATTTATGTATTACAATTATAGACCCCCCCCTAAGATGTTCAGGATGGGTGGGAAGTAAGTAGGCATTGAGAAATGGTTATAACCTCTATATTTCCAATGCAAAGATAATGAAAATAATAATAAAATAATTTTTACGTGTACACACCCTGTATATGGCAAGTGTTTAACGAAATAAAAGGAAAATAATTTAACCAGTTTACAACGGTCTACCCTTACGTAAAATAAATTAACACCAAAGTCAGGAACACACCCGAGTTTAAAATGATTTTTATATATTTTTTTTTACTATAAAAATTTGTGATTAGTCGTTGTCTTCAAGAAATGACGTCATCAATAATGTCAACAGATATTTGTTTACTCGGAATTGTTGTGTTGGTATAACAACTCAACAATGCTGAGTAAACAAATAACATAATAAATAAACAACTACCAAGCCAGTCGCATCATCACTGCTCCAGAAGCTTTTTAAAACACAACCACCCCCCCCCCCCCGAAGGGGGAGGGTTGGTCAAGTGTTTTAACCCTCAATTAGGGGGAGGGGTTAGTTTAGTTTAGTTGGTTGCGTTTTACAAACTTGACCAATCCCCCCGAGGAGCTCCGAAAGGAGCGCTCTGCTCTAGTATATATATAATTTGGTGAAAAAGTCTTAAGATTGTTTGCGTTTGTAACAGTATACCCAAATTATGTAGTGGGTTAAGGGCGAAGACACGTTAGAATTGTTTAATTGTGCCTGTATGAAACGTTAATTAAGGGACATTTACACATAGTGTGCAGTATTTTGAATTTTAAACTTAATTACAATCAAGTAACGTTTTTCATTAGATTTGCAGAAACCTAGCCCAAACTTAAAGCCACGTGTCATTTATAAAAAGGATTTTTTATTAAATGAATTTTGGAAATATGAGGCTGGAAATGGCGTATTCAATTTCAGTTAATACGAAAATGTGGAAACTTACGTAAAGACAAGAAAAAACAGCGTAATAAAATTTGGCTTAAATATATTTGTTATATATATATATTTTAAAATATTTAATGTTTTATAATCCATGCTGATGTAGATATACACTAAAGTTAGCAAGTTTTGATTCTCTTTAAAGAAAACCGCCTGAAGATGACAGAAAAATGTCGAAACATGTTGAATTCGTTAAAACTCATAAAGTGTCGTGTTTGACGGATAACAGAGTGACAGTCCTTCTTTGGTAACAACTTTTCAGTCTGAAATCAGATTAAAGCCTTGTTCGTTTGTCCCAAATGACCAGGATGTATATTTTCTCCACATAACAGAAGAAGATCCAGTTTCCAAAATTCTGTGGGATTTTTAAACTCACAGACGAAGGAAAATGTTTAAGATCTTACGCGTTTAGAATAATCTTCGCAGTTACATAGTTCATTTTTTGAAACCTCTTAACAGTGGACCAAGTTCATCTGACGTCAGCAAATCGAAGCTGATGTAACATAATTAATTAATTGATCGTAACAACTGGTATGAGGCGATTGGCTCTCGGCTCGATCAGCCTCTGACCTCATTTCATCCGGGCCGTCTGATAAATCAACACACAGTTGGTGGCTTATTCCTCGTGGCGATGGGTAAATCTTCTCTGGGCAAAAACTTCTCTGAACTTCCTCGCGAATTTTTTGATTTTTTAACATTGAAAAATTTCTCCGTGGTATGTAATCACTTCAGATCGCATTCTACGACGCGTTGATCGAATAATCAGGGCGTTAAAATAGGTAACGACTGGTTTCGTATCGTTGCAAATTCACAATTCATAATCATCAGACCATTATGTATCTTACTCGGCGAGATACGTCACGTAAATATATCAGAAAATTCATTGAAGGGAATGGAGAAAATTGTATTCGGATTCTTTGTTACGAGGGCTGTAATTTCATCATTTCGAACAATTATTCTTTCTTTAAAAAGAAAACCAGATTTACGATGGGCTGAATGACGAATATTGAATTTTTACCGAAAATCTTTCCAGATGGAGTGCTCCAAATACATGCATGTCTGTCTGATTTATCTCTAGGACCGCAGGAATAATTTTGTATGGACGTCATGCCACTGGGGCTATCCTAACCTCACATCTTGTAATTTACTGAAATCGTTAATGCTAACATGGTAGATGAACGAATTTGTAAAGTGCGTTCGACATTAAAGCCACTTACTACTACAGAGACAAGATGATATGGGGTAATAGATATTTTAAAAATACACAAATTTTATGTAGTAATTATTTGTATAATGTAAAATAACAACATGGCGACTGCATAAACAACAAAATAATTTTGATTTAAAAGGATTCGATTTCATGACTACCTACGTACGAGTCCAGTTCTTTGTCAAATAACTACCTGGTATTTTATTAACGCCAATGTTTTTAAGTCACCTGCAGTCTCTTAAAATATCTGTAATAACCAATGACATATGAGTCAGAACAGAAATATTGTAATAAATGCAGTAAATTTCTTAATGCAAATCCACGTCCATATTTCTACAACGATATGGACCATCCTGATGGCAATGTTTGTATTGTTGGTATACGATAATTTTTAAGTTCACTTGGGAGCATTCATAATTTAAAGAATGCAACGAAAGCACTTTGCTGTTATCAGGGACGACCCACGAAAAGATGTAATTCAGTTCGCTGTTCAGATATTAGTAAGTGTCGACCTACTTATCGATACAAGGAAAGTATTCGCAGAAAAGTTGGACCTGTGCTGCTATCTGTCGTCCACTTATAGCAGTGTTCGATCGAAACAGCGCTGCGCGTCAGAAAGATTTTAGTTTGGGTTATTTTTTAAATACCAATATAATTTCTTGAACCAGCTGAAAGAAGTTATCAGAGTCTTGTCGAAGAGTCTAGAAGTGACTTCGGTGTATACAGACAGCTCTGTTCTGCAACGAATCGCTTTGTTTGCGCTCACAGACTCGTAGAAACGCCCACATTCACGGAGACACACGACATGGAACAGTAGCCCGCGTAACACGACAATGCGACGACTAACGTCCAATAGACGAAACACTGCTACAAGTGGACAGTCGGTAATGGGGGAGATCCGAAAACGTAAATAAAATTATTGATTTTTGTGTGTACGCAATTTTTCCAGTTTTCATTATTGTGCTGACAGCTGGCGGTAGGAAGTGGAGTAGGGTTCAGTCAGGACTCGGTGTAATGCCTGCTTTCGGTTGTTCTTAACAAGAAACAATCATAATTGATATTATCATGTCCAAATTTATTATTAAATATGCTGCAAATGTTCAGTCATTGTAAATAACTGGTGAATATTTATTAAGTAAATCTTTTCTGTGAGTCTCTCTGGACTCTGCTATTCCAAAATAGGATATTTGGCCCCCCAAGTAAAAATATTTATCCATCCTCGTATTGTTCAGATAGACCATATTTTTGAAGCTTAAGATTTATTATGATATTTACAAGGGCAGGAGTACCAACCATGCAGAAAAACACGTACTTGTTCTTATTCAGATAACCATGTCGGAAGCGGTTACCGTCACCAGTCCACAGAGCACCACTGTGGTGATCGGAATGGCTGCAGTACTCATAACAGTCGCTGTCGCCTGGTGGCACCAGAGGGTGACGGGAAGGAACAGGGTACCCACCAAGTGGCGACGCGTTGGTGAGATCAGTGAGATGACTATCTACCCACTCAAGTCTGGCCGTGGAGTCGAGTTAAAGGAGGCATTTTGTACTGACCTTGGTTTGCGGACGGTTATCGACCAGACCACGGAGCTCCTGGACAGGTACGTTCAAAGGGGGGTAAAGTATGCTTTATCAATGTTATCCAATGCAGAATGTGAAGCTGACAGCACCTCTGGGGCCAAAAAAAGGGAGTATCTGTTAGATAAAAGTAATGACCTTGAAACAAAAAAAACAAGGGAAAATGTATTAGAGACCTGTGCTGTCATAAATGAATTTAAGAAGGGTTGCCAACCAAGAAATAACTTAATAAAAATGAGAATGGGGATCTGCTTGCAGATTCACGTATCATTATGAGCAGATGGAAAAGTTACTTCTGTTGGTCGTTGTATGTACTCGGAATCAACAGTTTTAGGCAGCTTGAAATGCACACAGCTGACCAGAGCTCTTTTGGGTCTGAGATTGCTTTTGAAAATCTGAAAAGATGGAAATTGCTAGGTATTGATCAAATTACAGCAGAGTTAATCCAAGCAAGGGTAGTATATTAAGTTCTGAATTTCCACAAACCTGTTAATTATATTTGGTACAAGGAAAAATTGCCAGAGAAATTGAAAAAAAATGTATCATTGCACGCACATTGCGTTTACCAAACAGTAAAGTGTTGTTTTATGTACGCTTGAAACTTGCTCTCACACATGTGAAGGGAAGAACACAGGTTGAGGATGTTTGACAACAAGGTGCTCGGCAGGTTATTTGAAATTAAGACGAACGACTTACAAGAAGCTGGAGAAATATTTCACCAAATATTATTAGAATTATCAGATCAAGGAAGATGATAAATGCGCATATATTTTGTTGGGAAGCCTGAAGGAAATAGACCTTACTGAAGACCTAGGTGTAGATGGTAGGATAATATTAAAATGGATAATAAGGAAATAGGATTGTAGGGTATAGAGTTCATTCACCTGGATCAGGATAGGGACTGGTGGCATCGCCCTGATGACGGAGGCAATGTGACCTATGAAACGTTCGTAAACATCAGACTACACGGCGCAACAACTCAGAAGACAGAAATATTATTATTACCATGTTTACCAACCCAATAAGAAATGACAACAGAGTAGTGGTTGGTAATACATTTTACTGCGTAGAAAGACGAAGATATTTAATAATACCCGTTGTCAACAGAACTTTTCTAGTGTTTGGTTCCGATGATCGGACATACATGACTGCAGCAAGATTTCCTAAGATGCTACTCATCACTATCACCCCAGAAAGTGATGGAATTGTTACCTTTCGTGCCCCAGATATGCCGGAACTCCAGTATAAGATTCCGGATAGCAGCGAGGGCTTGACAACATCTACTTGCATGTGAGTACAAACTTTTTGAAACCGCCCCAAATAAACTAAATTAAAGTAAATCCGTCAAGTAGGGTCTCCCTTGAGAAGTTAATAGTTGCTCAACTGTCCAAAAAAAATCCTTGTTCTTTACGGTTTCTGAAGTTCCAACACTGAATTTAAAAAAAGCCGTATCTTGTACGCTATTCTGAGCCACTTGGATCCAGTCTGTATCTTCAGATTATATTTTTACGTCTATAACCCCACTTTCATATAGCTGGTTGGACTTTTAGCCGATAATCAAACATAAGACCTGCTGAATGTGGAAGTAGACATCAACCATTCTCTGGTACACAGCTTGTGGATGTGAGAATGTGCAACTAATAAACAATTGATAGACAATTGATAGACATCTCTTTAGGCAGAATGTTATGATGACGCCAGCTTTGAAGTAAAGCTGTATACATGCTGTTGGCACTGAATTTTAGGACACGTGTTTGATCTGTAGAATCCAATATTCATTCAGATTTTCAGAATATTCCTCTCTTAAGAAGCCATAAATAATTTAAATTTCTCAGCTTTGTGAAAGGGTAAACAGAAACACAATGAAAAAGCTTTTGAATTATAATACATTGTAATCTTCGAACCACCATGGAAAACTCAAATCTCAGATTTCAAATTGTTTGTTCTGATCGGGTCCTACAGTGTTTGGTGGAGTGAAGTGGTGAAAACTCTTGACTGTGGAGAGGAGGCAGCAACCTGGTTTTCAAGGTTTATCCTGGGAAAAGACAAGGGGGCGAGACTCGGGTACTACCCCCAAGAGAATCCTGAGTTCAGGCGAGACATCTCTAAGGTGAAACTGACTGCATTCCAGCAGCACTACAAGAAGTTGAACGATGATGATGTGGTGAGTTGTACTGAACTTACTGCGTGATGACATCTTTTTTAGTTCTTAGCAGAAAGAGCTTGTGTTGGGCCAGGCCGTGGTCTAGGCAACACGGAGTTTTCCTCCGTGGCATCCCAACAATTACTCCATTCACACACAGAAGAAGGCAATGGCAAACCACTTCTGGATCATCTGCCAAGAACTTATATGAACAGGTCCCAGTCCGAGAAAAGGATGGAAGGATCCTGTTCATATGGACCTGTCGTCAGACAGAACACTAAATAAATAATACAAAAATAAGCAGAAAGAGGGATGTCCCTTATTCGTCTGCTTGCTACTTAAATTCAAATCCTATGCTTCTTAATGAAAGAAATACAAGATTTGAGGCTTTTATGGCACTGAAGGTGTCATTGTTGGTCCTCTGGGTAGTAACACCATATGGACTTCTATCTGCACAGTGCCGCTACTTAGATCAAAATCAATAATTTTTAAAAAAATTCAGGGAAATACATAGTCTCATTTATAAATTTTGACAACACTTCTTTATTTTTTAAAATTTTCTATGTAAATAAACACTCTATGTACAATCACACAGCTGATTTTCGTGCATATACACTAAAAGAATTTTGATAAAATTGGTCATGGGGAGATCATAACAATAGTAGTAAGGAAAACTGAATATAGGTCATAGGAGTCTAATATAATCCTTATATTACATAAATCTGAAATCAGACATCAGTTTGCTGGAAAACATCTCATTACAGTGAAGACTGGTATATGGGACTTAATAATTCCATTTCAAAATCTTTTTTGTGATCAATATTTAATTAAATAAAATGTTAATTAATTTATGTCTGAGCATTGAAAGATATTTCGTGTTCACTGATTTTGTCAGTAGCAGAATCTCCTTCTGTGCAGGTTGGCATGCGTAGAGTGAATATATCTGCAACAGTATTCGTAATAAATAATGAGGCATGCACGATCACAAGGAACATAGGAGGAAAATGTGTACCGCTTAGAACACAAATTTAGACTTCTCTCCCTACAAAATAAAATCACAGATATGCTACAGCACAGTTTAATGGTTTGTAGGGAGCATACACATATTTATCTGGATTCATGCTATTGAGCGAGTCCACCATGGATGACCTCCGGTCCAGACTGCCTGAACGCCTGAGAGATTTAAGCCACAGGCGTTTCCGAGGCAACTTTATTGCCCGGAACACAATTCCCTACGAGGAGGACAAATGGGACTGGGTCAGGGTGGGTGAGCAAGCCATCTTCAGGACGGTGAAACCCTGCACAAGGTAAGTTATGATCATCAAAAGGTGTAATAAGTATATAAAGTCCTGAAGGGTACGTGGCGACTTAACTCGAGATAGGATCAGTTGATTTACTGACCAGTCAATTAGAGTGGGTAATGTGGGCAAGTTATTAAATACATGTTAATGGGTTTATACTGAACTCAGCTGTACTGGGTTATTCAGTGAGCGAGTACGCTCAAAAATAAAAATGTACAAACTTAAATATTTCTTCCACATCAGATGTAAGTGAATTTAAAAATTATATTTCTAGGTGCACCATCGTAAATGTAGATCCTGAGACGGCAGTGAGGGACCCCGAGATGGAGCCGCTACGCACCTTGAGATCGTAAGCAGTACTCTTTTATTTTTAACTCGGTAGTATTCACAAAAATAATTTATCTCGGGGAGTTATTTACAGAGATAAAACACTGACAATGCCCAGTTATGTACTTCATATTGCTGGACCGAATCAGTTGGACACCAAAAACTTCGTAACACTGTGTAAAAGCAAAGAGAAGGCAAGAGAACAGAGGATATGTTGGACGGGATAGTTTGAATCCTGCTTGTTCCATATGCCTCTATCCATGATATTTAAGCAGTGGCAATATCAATAAAAATATAAACTTTCATACAAATATGTGATATTCCAAGTCAGATTCTAACAGTCCAAAAAATATTGTGTTTATTCTGATTTGATGTAAACTTTACTGGTAATATTTTATAGCCCTGGAAGTTATAAGATAGTAATGACAAAACAAATACATGAATTATATTACGAGCAGTGAAGCAGCAAACAGTAACAAAGACATGTGAAAAAAATATCTTTGTGGTATTCAACCTGGGGTACGCGAAATTTAAAAATTGTATATATTATTTTATGATAAACACTGAATAATCAGTAATGTAATTTATTTAATTTATTTTAGATGTAGATTATATACTATGTATAACTTGAATTATACACCAACAACTTTGGGGGTACAAAGTTGAAGAGAAATTATATCTGGGGGTACGCGAACAAAAAAAGGTTTGAATACTGCTGGTATAGACCAATGTTCTTCACTCAGGAACAGAGGTGCTACGCATGCACACATCATCACTTGACTACCAACCTGCCTATGTCACTAGTATTTACTTAGCTTCCCCATACTTCACGTACGTGTCAAATGACTTCCATTAATCTGTTTCAAGTTATCGTCTGGTAACTACACCTGGAGCAAAAGATGTGGAAGGAGTGGACCCTATAATGGGAGTGTACCTTGGTCTTCGGATTCCTGGAGTAGTAAAAGAAGGAGACCCGATTTATGTCGGTTACGATCAATAGGTTAGGTATGCGTGCGAGTCGGTTTTATGACAGACGTGGATAAAGAGTGAAACTGTATGCTTCACATAAGTGGGACACAATTTTTGAGCTGTCACATTATTTATTTATTTCTATTAATATATTAGTGAAGGCAATGAGAGAATCACAGGATGTGTGTGTAGAAAAAAATTAATAATCGTATGTGTAATGGATACCGAGGAAATATAAGCTATCTATTATATAAGTTTACACATAGTCTATTTGGGGTCTGGTGTCTTGCTGAATGATAATGAATTATCTCTCCATTTGATAAACTAAAATCATTTAAGGAAATACCGAGACTATGGGATCGTGTGTAGACCGTTTCACAGCTTACATGAAGATTCAAAATGTGTTAATAGGAGATAACTAGAATAATAGTTGCCTGTGGTTATATATAAAATATTAAAACTGAAAAAATTGCGACGTATACAGAATTGTACTACCTATTAAATAAACACATCGTACAGACACTTATTTTACAGTTCTAGTTTGCATATTTAGCCAGCGTGATATAAGTTTCTGGTATGTAACTGCACGGAAAAATAAAATGTGACGGCTGATGGCGTATCTTCCTTACATTACCATTACATCTTCATTGTTATTCAAGAAACTGTGTTAACTGCTGCTCATAAACTGTCTTCATGAAAACATTTTTGTGTACACATCATCGATGTGTTTTATTATTTAATATTATAAACAATGTTGTATTTATTATTGTTATGAAGATGGATATTTTGTAATAAAGTGATATATCTACAACTGCGTGGGAATAATTATTTCTATCCTGACATATTCATTTAATGGTGCTTTGAATTTCTCAGGTCTGTACTTTAAATCTTGATTAGGCAGTGGCAGGATTTTTCATGGTTCCATCCAGTCCTAGGAAAATTCCCAAACAGACCGAGTCCAGTAAAAATTTCTTAATTTAACCTACAATTGTGAGTTAATTCTCAGGAAAGGAATTATCAATACATACTCATTTAATGGCAACAGACATTTTCCAGAAAGACTTAAATATTCAAAAGTTAAAACTCTACATAAAAAAGGTGAAAAATTATACATATCTAACTACAGACCAATTTCATTCTCTCCATAAAATATTTGAGAAAATTATGTATAAGAGAGTGAACAATTTGGATTTAGAAAAAAGTATCTCAACTGATAAAGCTCTTTTCAATTTTACTGATGAAATCCTATGTGCTCTTAATAATAAAATGCATATTAGTGGAATATCTTGTGATCTTTCTAAAGCATTTTATTGTGTAAGTCATAAATTATTGCTGTCAAAACTACATTTTTATGGAATTCAAAATATAGTTGGTCACTGGTTTAAATTATACCTTCATATTTGCATGAACGATATCTTTGCTAGCTTCAACAAATGGATTAAAACCAATAAACTGACATTAAATGGTGACAAAAATTTCATGTAATTTTGTAATACCAACAAAAATAGTGTTAATCTAGATAAATGGCATGAGAATAAAATGATTGAAGAAGTAGAAATAACTAAACTTCCTGGCTTACAAATTGGCAGTAACTTAAATTAGAAAACTCATTTTCAATACACTTCCCAAAAACCAAGTTCCACATGCTTTGCTATGAGGACTGTCACAAAAACAGAAACTTTACAATAATTTTACTTTGCCTACTTTCATTCCACGTCATATGGAATAATTTTCTGGGGGAAATCAACAGACAGCAAGAAAGTATTTTACATTCAAAAGAAAATCATTAGAATAATGGCAGGCACTAAAAGAAGAGCCTCCCTCATGTAAGGAATTTAATATTCTTCCACTAGCCAGCAAATTCTTGCTCTCATTATCATTTGTATCAGAAAAAACAGAAAAATTTCAAGCACACTCAAAAGTCCACAATATAAACACAAGATACAGATATAACCTTCATGTGCCAAACTCTAAACAGAGTAAATATCAAAAAGCAATTTGATAATCTTCCCCCCCACTATAAAAAGCCTTAATCACAATATAAAGAAGTTTCAGCCAGCATTAAAAGAGCATCTCCAATCTCACTACTTCTACTCCACACAAGAATCTACTTCAACCAGAAATTATCATAAATTATAAATACATGTAAGCAATAGTGGTTATGCTTACTTGTGTAATTATTTTTGTGGTAAATACTGTGCTAGACTATGAGCCGGGATAGCTCAGTCAGTATAGTGACTAGCTACGGGCTGGACGACCGGGGTTCGATCCCCGCGCGGGGGCAGAGGATTTTTCCTCTAGCCTCTGCGTCCAGACCGGCTCTGGGGCCCACCCAGCCTCCTCTAAAATGGGTACCGGGGTCCTTTCCCGGGGGTAAAGCCGGCCGGGGCGTGATGCTGACCACTCACCCCCATCTAGTGCCGAGGTCAAGGAAGGGAGGAGCTATACCTCCTCTCACCCCAAACGCCTACATGGCGTAGAGTGGGACAAACTTTTACTTTTACTGTGCTAGACTGTAAATCACTACCACAACTAATATAATTTATATCTGTATTAGAAACAAGTATTGTATTTGTGCTACGACATGTTGTACATCCTTGGCTTGGGCTTATGAAGACCCTACGGAATGTAAATAAATTCTATTCTATTATATTCTGTGAAGCATGCAGGTGATACCTGGAATATACATGTATTACCATTACGAAAAAAAATACCGTAATAAATGTGAAAGACAAGTAAAATTTACAGAAAAACTGCCCATCTCTCTAATGTCTTCCACTTCAGAAACTGACTCATTTAAGTTATATTTTAAGGTCTTTCACTAAATTTTAATATCTGATTTCATTAAAGAATTTTCTGAATGTTCATGGCTTCCACTGAGTAAAACTGAATCACGATGTGATATTACATTCTGTTAAACTATCAAATCTGAATATTTTTTATCATTTTGTAAATACAGTTGAAACAAAACGAAACAGAAACCACAATCCTATTTTGAAAACACTACAACAGCAGAACCTGCTCCTGGCTGAAAGATGAATAAACCATATCTTCTGCCGATGTTTGAAGAACAATCTCTGTTCTCGAAACGTTGGCAGATGATATGGTTTATTCACCTTTCAGCCACCTGATGCGGCCTGTAGCCCAAGAGTCTTCCATCAACTTCAGTCACCGCGAAAGCTTCACTTTATACAACCGCCTTATTTCATATACACATCAGGCAGTCCATTCTATTCAACCAGACTCACAAGACAACCAAGAATCTGCTCTGCACAACAGCCACATGTGAGTATTATTAGTACCTACATTTATTACTAATAAAATATCCAATAATTTGGCCATAACAAATATTAATATATTTCATATTCTCTCTGCAGAACTGTATACAGAACATCACATATTGCATTACTATACAAGCAGTTTGTCAGAGAGTTATATATTATCCTTTTCAATCACTCAATGAAAACACAGCTTTCAAACAAATATTATTTATTATAACTTTATTCTATATTTAAATATTAAAAATTGAAACATTTTCTCAGTATTACAGTCTCATCCTGTTGGCTGCAAAACCCACAGTCACAGTAACTAACAGTTTCTGGATACATGATCCAAACAGAACTTCGGCAAAAGCCATAATCTTCTATAGATTCTCCTTCTTAAGTAAAATTAACATTTATAAAAAAATATATAATACATCCTACTCCAATGTTGAAAAATTCAAGCAATAATATATTTTATGCATTATGGTATATATGTATAAAAGAAGATATGAACCTTTAACCAATGTAATCTTAACGTCTATATGAGTATTTATATATTTTATCACATCTTCACATAGAAAGTCACATTCAGCATTGTATAGTGACCATTTTTTTGCATTCTCCATGTTGTATAACACGAACCTTAAAGCCATCTACTAGACTGATACACCCTGTCTTAACAAGTGAGCTACTGTTAATTTTATTGTAAACAACAATTTGTTGTCCACAGTTTTATGCAAATGTCTGAAAATGGCTGACCTTATTACTAACATGACCCATATTTATGACTGGTTTTTATTTATTGAGTATTATGGTATTAAGAGAGCATTTGCAAATCTTTAATGATCAACTCAGCAAATAGATACTACTCAGTCCCTACAAACACATTATCACCTACTCTGATGATACCCTTACGATGAAGTCCAAGATTTATTCCGAATGCAGGAGCAGAGCCCTCCACCTTCAGCTTAGTCGGATCAGTCAACTTTCGGTATCTGCAAAGATTAAGCAGTAATACTATACGACTGAAGATTGCTGTCTTCTGGGTTGTTGCGCCACATACTCTGGTAGATGTCCACCATTTCAGAGGTCATGCTGCCTCCGTCACGAGGGCGATGAATCTTCAGACTCACCGCCGTGAAAACCTCAAATCCTGCATACTATATGACTGTGTATAGAAACTGAACAGATTAGCTAAGTCTTAATAAAAATGAGTCATATTTGAGAGTGGGGATTCCATATGGAAGAGAATTCCTCCTATTGTAATGCAGTATTGCATGTAATAGCCCATTATCACAAATACAGCTCCTGCGACCAAGTCATAATAATACAACCACTACACATTTCAAGAATTCAATCCACGGTGGTCTCACCGTTACATCTGAAGTGGAAGAAATATAACTATTTAATTCAATGTAACTGAATGAGTGTAGTGAGATCAATGGGAAATGGATTTCAAGGTCATAAAGATTTTCCGATTATGTGCATTAGCCCATCGTTTCTGCCAATTCTTCACTTGAATTACTGACCCCTAGAATGCAAGTTAAATGCACCATGTACTGAGAAGGCATTGGATTATTTTATGTAACATGTAAAATTATTTTGTTTTTTACTTACCCAATTCAAGTTTATTACTTCATTTAATATTTCATATTTACACATTTAACAACAGTAATAAAAATAATAAGTATTTTACCTTTTGAGTGTGGATAGAGGCTCTTTGTGTGGATTTTTAATGCCCGTGTTTGGGTCAACTGTTGTGAAAAGACACCTGAAAATACAGAATAATGTACTTAAAATTAACTACAATGAAATTCCTATCATTTTAGACCTCAAAAAAGAACTAGATATATCAGAGAAATTCATATAGTGTTAAATTATTGCCTCATTATGAGTCTGTGTGTAAACAGTTTCCAGTTTGATAAATAGTTAACTAAATATGCCTAAAATTTAGTTTAGATTGTTCAGTACAGTAACTCGGCTATGGACTGGACAACTGAGGTTCAATTCCTGGTAAGAGCAGGAATTTTTCTTTGCCACCATGACAACCTGAAATGTGGGCCTTCTCGGTTGATGGAATTGTGAGCAGATAACATTTCAGAGGAATACACTCCATCCATCTTCAGGGCTGAAGATGAAGACAAAATGTTCTGAGAAACAATGGTAAGTACCTACAACTCAATATGGTGCTACAACCCAGAGTGTGTTCCTCATTAAAAGCAACAAATGTTATCTGAAAAAATATTTAGTCTAATCAAGACTTATTTAAATATATCTAATAACACATTTATAAAAAAGTTGCAATCCAAGTTCCTTAACTTTGAGTGAAATTATATTACACAGAAAATGTTCATGAGAAATTATAATAAAAAATTTAAATAAAATCCATTATGAATAATTATTGATTCATGATCCTGATAATCATGCTCTTCTGGGTTCTAAGTCTTCCCAGTGTTACAATCCACAACAACGTCGTCATCCTCATTGCCACAAGAACCTAAACAATCATGATCCGTGGTTTTGTTCGTCAACTGCAGGACTGTCAAGCTGTAGAATCAGTTAGTGTGTGGAAAAAATGTGAAAGCAGTCATCGATAATTTTAAGGTACTGTCACAGGGTCTGAACAGAGGGACTGAGGACACCTCAAAAATCCACAGGAGAGCCTGTCTTCAGGCTGAGATTATATACTGTGACCCTGTGACCTAACAAATACAAAGCAGGATGTTAATTACTACACCAAAATGTCAGGTAAAACCTGTTCATTCTGAACGCAGCTACCACATTTATACAGACACAGTGAAGCTAACAGATTACAGGTGGATTGTCATATGTCGGGATTGTTTTCCTGCGAATAGTCAAGATAAATGAAAACGTGTAATATGGGAAATGCATCTGCATAATATGCACTTGGATGTTCCAAGTGATACAGCATGAGAGGCCTTAATTTGCAGTCCTCAGAGTCGAAGAAATAAGGTGACTCAGTGGCCGTGCAGAGCAAATTCTACCATGGCCATGGACAGGATATTGAAGTTGCTGAATGATAATAAAATGAAAATGCAGACAATGACAGTGCATATACCAAGTCACCTGTGCTCTGTACTGAATATATTAAAATAAAAATAAACATAATGCATTAAATTAAAACTGGCAGGTTTCAATGTGTATGAAACTTGGCTTCCCAATCCAAAGAAAGAAAATAAATTAAAGGTTTTTGAAATTAAACTACTGAAGAGATCATCTGGACCTAGGAAGATAATGAGACACTCAATAATTTGTACTTCTCTCCTAAATGTTGTTAGGATGAGGATCAAGGAGGAAGTTTCAAAGAAACATGAAATTTCTTAACAAACTGAGTAGTCCCATTCTGCTTTTATGAGTAGATTTCTTATTCTTGTAATTTAAAATGATTTTATCCCAAGGAACATCCATACAAAGTTTTTCAGTTCCATTTCTGGAAGTTCCACTTGTTAGAGATAAATTCTGCAATCCCATGCACTTCACAAATTAATTTTACACTGACGTACAAGTTTTGATATTTGATACTTCTGGTTCGATCACAAACCTGGTGCATGGCTTGACATTCCTGAACACAGCTGTATCACCAATCCTGATCCAGTCCCATTTGTCCTCCTCATAGGCTACTGATGCTCGTACAAGGAAATTTGGTCTGAACTGTCTCGGTACAACGGACACATCCGGAGGAACTCTCGTCTTCAAGTCAGCTATTGATGATTCTGTCATCAGCATAAAGCTAGATAGGTCTGAATATGCCCCCTGTAATGATGTCAAACAAACAAGAAATTCTGGGAATAACTTTTGATGTCTGCTTCCCTTCAAATGTTTCAGTCCACATGGTGAGAACAGCATAAAAGGATGGTTTAGTGATCAAATTATGTTTTCTATATATTAACTTGCAAACAAAAGTTTAATACTAAATGTTCTTGTATGTTTATGCTGTTTCTACACAGAATTTCTAGTATATATGGTTTACTGGTCCAGTAGATAATGTCAACAAACAAAATGGTAATCCCCACTTCTAATTAAAAAGATTTATTACTACACAATATTTCAGGAACTTACATTACATGGTAAATTATTTTGATAATCCATTGGTAACAAGATATTATAGACGTACTCTGGTTTGGAATATACATATTTTCCAAACGTATTCTGTGAGACTGTCATTGCACTTTGCTCACGCAGTTCATTTATTGCACACCGAAATGTGCAGAGCTAAAAATTGTTTAATTATGCCATTAATAAGTGTGTGTGATCAACTGTTTTTAAGAGAATTTAGAACGTTTAGTGGCTACTAAGTCAAAAGGAACCAAAATAAAATCCACACGATATGTTTTAGTGTACCCCCCACCCCATAATCAAATATAATCAAAATCAATCAAATACATCTTTAGATGAAGATTGCTGTCTTCTGGGTTCTTGCGCTGTGTAGTCTGGTAGGTTTCCCAGAGGTCATACTGCCTCTGAAACGTTTGTGGAAATCTACCAGACTACACGGCACAACAACCCAGAAGACAGTAATCTTCAGACTCACCGCTGTGAAAACCTCAAATACTACACATTTGAAGATAAAACACAAAGATGGACAAGGAGACATATCACCATTATACATATGTTTTATGAAGAAGAATTAAAATACTAAGCAGTGTGTTCACATGGAATGCAAATTTGATATTAGGAGGGCTCAAATTAGGTGGGCATAAATTTTGGCGATGGGGACTTGGAGTGGCTTTAAAAAAGTTCAATTTGCACATGGGATCTTTATATTATCTCAGTATATGTAGAAACAGGAGGCTGTGTTATAAATTCAGTGAATACTCATAGATAGCAGGGCATTCACCGACAGCTCGGAGTGTTTCTGACAGCACCTAGTACTACTACTGCCCCCTCAGCCACCACACCGAACCACGGTGACATATGCAATGTGAAACATGATTCCTCTTTAGCATAAAATGAGAACTGCACATATTTCACAACTTACCAAATCACTGTCTTGAAGGGTCTTATAACAATGCTTGAGATTCTTGTCAGCAACTCTTCTTGGCATAATATCTGCCAGGTGATATCCCAACCGCACTCCATTGTCTTTACCCAACATGTATTGAGACAGCCACTTTGCTGCCATATCCCCACAATCAACAGTTCCCAACATCTCATTACCCCAAAATCTATGCAGAAACAAACAGAATGACAGTTTCTTTCAACTCACTGGCATATTACATTATTTCAAATTCCTACGTGAAATTCATTCCAATGTTTCCAAATAAATAACTAAAAATTACTGCAGGTACAGGTAGAGATTTACTACATCTGTTGTTCAGAAAAAAACTGGGCCAAATTTAGAGTTTTTAGGTTGTGACGATAGTGATGTTGATTCTGGTATTCTGGGTTGTAGAATCACATCTTCAAGGAGACGTGGCAAGTGTCTTCTTAAGAATCGCCAATATGAAGGTCCTCTTAGACGTGATGGAAGCATGTGTGGACCAATAAGCATGTCACCAACAATTCCTGCCCTAACGCTAATTGAAAATCTTTGCTGGATGCTGGATTCACTTTGATATAAAGTCATTCATTGAAACTTATTTTTGGTTATTATTTCGAAAATGAAACATTTGAGACCCAATGTTCATAGGAACATTTTTTCTTATTTTTGATCCTGGAACATGCACACAAAGTTTGTAAACATACTTTTGACTCAGCCTGTATAGACTGCCTCATGAAGGAAGTGACTGAAATTCGACCGAACTCCGGAAACAGGGAGACAGGGGTTTCACACTGAGCCAGAGCTGGTGATAAACGTTATCCAATTGGAAAACTGAGCTAAAAATAGCGAGCATATCACTCCGCACATCAGTCCCTATTGGCCAAAGTGCAGCTAACAATACGGGGCTGGGACAAGTATATATATAGAGCACAGACAGGATATCCTACAACTTCAGTACCCTGAGGATGACGAAGATAGTTCTTGAAGGTGGTTTTCTCCATTAAACCACCTTACATGGTTGGTAGACCGAGAAGAATTCATTATTGGGCTACCACACCAGGTATGAGGCCTTCAAAGATCTTCATTATAAGACCTTCTGATAACCTGTCTGATGTCTATTCATCAAGATGAGATAGTGGAAGTAAACATACAAGAGACAGGAGTCATACGATAATCCTTTGCTATGTTGGTACCACTGGCAATTAAACCCTCAAGTAACAGAACTGACACATCATTAACTACAGGATTGTTCATGTGCTTCCAATTATGCCAAATTTCTAATCTCCATCAATTGACTAGAGGGACCTAATGGCCTTGGACAGGGAATAATGCATGGCAGTAACAAGCCTGTTAGTTGGCCACTGCACAATTAGGTGGGACATACATCATGGGGCTCGTGGAAAGAGCCAAGAGCATGAAATGTGGTCAGGCGGAGGAATCCTCCTACCACAAACTCTGTTAAAGCCCTGGATTAGTTGGGCAAGATTAGAGAACTTCAGTTCTGCATAGCTAGAGCCAAGAGACATGGCCTCAATTTGCTTATTTCTGGATCTTCCGGTGTGGTTAAGGATCTTTGAAGGCCCCAAACAATATCAGGGGTGCATAATAAAACTACCAGTGGCCTGAGTGCATAGAGTGACTGAACTTGCCCCAGCTAGATCAATATCAGTACCAACCCCTTGTGCACTAGAAACAAGCCTGTCTCGTGTATCTCATTAGTTGTATAACTAGCACACCAGTCTGACACACTGAACTTTACAGGCGATCTTAGTCCTTTTTGCCATTTGGAAGGCACTTCCAATGACAGGAAATTTGTTTCTTACAGGACTGTGAGATACTGACTGCTGGACATCAGTAAAAAGCACAAGGAACTTATGTACACTGTGGCAGAGTATTCCTTCAGCAGCTCATAATTATTCAGGCGACTAAAATATTCCCTGATCTTATAGAACTCATATATTCATCACAAACACACTTTCCATCTCCATAAACTACTTTTCTAAAGTTAATTTTGATATTATTATCCCATTTATGTTTAGGTCTCCTTAATTGTCTCCTCTGCGAAGGTTTTTCAAGTTAACTTTTTACATATTCCCTGCTTCCCTCATGCATGAAACACACACTTGGTCATTTAAACCACCTTGATTTATTCAACCTAACGATACCAGTTGATGAATACAACACTGAAAGTTCTTGTTAAGCAATTTCTTCCATTCTCACCACTTCAACTCTCTTCTCCATACAAAACGATTCTGTAAATATCTAACAGAAAGAGGAAATAAAAAAAGAAGAAAAAGGGAGAAAGGAAAGAAAAATATAAGAACACGGAAAAGAGAGCAATTCTTCACTGCCCCAACCTCTGTGTATCAATATATGAAATAAAATTAAATCGATCTTCAGATGTTACTTACTTGCAATGTGAGTATTTGTTATTTTCTGAATATTCTGGAACCTTGACCTGGAGTTCTGACATGTCTGGAGCAGAGAGTTTCACAGCGTCATTACCATCTAGAGCCATATTAATGAGCACCATTTTAGGGTGTGTTCGTGCTGTCTTGAACATTCCATTGTGTTCATCAACAACAATGAAAAATCTGTAAAGTTAGTAGTAAAATTGCGTAAATCACAAATGGCTCATACTCGCTACCAAGGAAATATACGAATCAAGAAACATGCAAAATACAGTAAAACCTGTCTAAAATAAGACCTGAATTAAAACAAAACATGCCTTTGTCAGAAAATCTCTCTTTCTAACAATACAGAATGAAAACTAATGCAAAATTACTCCAAATAAACCAATTCTGATTAATGAAGCAAGAAAGAAAAAAGAATTTACCAGAAAACAGTATTCTATATACAGAGTAAGCACAAAATAACTTTACACTTTCAAAACAATACAGAAAACAAATGCAGTGTACTTAGAACTTCACACCCACGCTAGTCGATAGAGAAACTCTCAAAGTTTTGTTTCAAATGACCCAGTTGATTGTTGCTGTTGTGCACCTCTGCTAGATGACACTAGTTTTTTAAAATGGCTGCCCCACAACAGACTAGTTGGTGTGCTCTGCAGTTAGCAAAGAAAGTCTCTAGCAGTTGTGCAGTGTGTATTTCACACACAATTTCATATAAAACCACCCAGATGAGTAACAATTTACACTTGGTACAAGAAATTTGAGCTGAAACGGTGTATTTGCAAAGGCAAGAGTCCTAGAGGGACACTGCACAGAGTTTGGAACAAGTTGGAATATCATCTTCACATCTGTCGTGTGACTCGTGGAGCACATATCGAGTCTCTGTGAGGTGTGTACAGGACTTAGAGCTTCCTTTTCATCAATGAAGTTCTAAATATGCTGCATTTGTTTTCTGTATCATTTTGAAAGTGGAAAGTTCTTTCACATTCATCCTGTACTTGTCTTCTGTTCATATAATTTTGACTCATACTGCATTTCCTGGAATTTTTATGAGAAATACAGGGAAAGAACAAAAGCTTGCTGACAAAATTACTGCAGAGAACTTTAACACACTAATGGAAAAAGAGAGTTTGAATGTGAGTCAGCAAGACAGAAACAAAGACACAAATATGAAAACAAACATGGCACAGCAAAAGCAGCATGCATATACAGCACAAATTTTTAATTTACCATTTCGATCACAAATATATGGAATATGTACAATATGTGCAACAAAAATCAAGCACTTAAAATCTGTCAAGTCCAAAACTATTAAGCAAAAGCAAAGGAATATGTCTGCCTAATTTGGGGAAAAAACACATTTTAATGTTAATGATTATTCTCAGGCATGTTATCAGGTTCCATGGAAAAATGAAGGTAAACACTATATTTCATTTACTGATATATCTTCTGTTGGTAGACCTGACATCCACATAAGTATCTCCTTCTGATGCATAAGCTGTATTGACACCAATATTCATTTAAACTGAGCAGTTGTATATTTGTTTAAATCTTGTCAGTCTAATCACAATAAAATTCCTATTAAATATTAAAATATTACTATAATTAACATTTAAATATTTAAAATATATTAAATGATGTTCTCTATCGAAATGTTCGATTTACATTAGAACATCACTTTTTACACGACATGTTTCAGTTCTAAAAGAACTATCTTCACTATCCTGAGCAGTTGTATGTTATGCAATTACATGTTCAAAACTCCTGTGTCGAATTCATACTGAAAGCAAACGGAAATGAATACCGAAAAATGCAGATTGTGATATTTGAAAGAGAATCAGTAATTCTTGCTTGTCTGCAAAACATACACAGTCCAAGAACATTTTATTAAAAAGAAAAATATAATAAACATACACATTAGGAATAAAAAAAAAATGCAGACATCAGGACTCAAACTGGCTTGTTTGACCCTTGCATCAATGCCAGTCCCCATGTTAAGCACTTGTTTACCAAAGAATGTACATGAATGATAAAGTTAAACATAGTCTTCAACTTCAGTTTGCTGTGAAACCTGATCACATGCCATAGAAAACTCAGTCACATTAATTCATGGTTTTTTTTCAAATGCAGCAGACATACTATTGTCTTCGCTTAACAGAAATCTGGCTTAACTAATTGTAATTAATGAAAGGTAGAAGAAAGCAACATACGGACAAATACAAGGTTATGAATGACTGGAATTATGACAACAGCTGTATGCTTACATCACTTCTGGTTTCAGAATTTGAAGACTTTAACTGCTCGATTTTTGTTGCACTGAGTACACCATCTAACACTTCCTATCTACAAATGTCTATGATAATTTTATATAATTTACAAAAAAAAAGTATAAGTTTCTTTCCCCTTATTTTGTGTAAGGGATACACAACTCATGGCCCTTGTGCCACATGTCTGTTGCCATAATTTCATTGTTACACCTGTGACAGTCTTCATAATCATAACAAGATTATCATGTGAAATTTGAGGATTTCATGGTGATGAAGATGTCAAGTGCGGTTTTCTGGGTTAAGACACCATGTAGTGTTGTAGGTGGTTATCAACATTCCTTCAAAATGTTGACAGCCACCTCCAAGACTGCAAAATATCACAACTGACAAGGTCACTATGAAAGTTAAATGACACGCAGTGGAAACACATGCATAAAAAGCAAGCCCTGATGATGGAGGCAGTATGACCTCTGAAACGTTGGTTAACATCGACCTGACTACACAGCGCAACAACCCAGAAGACAGAAATCTTCAAAACATGGAAAGTTCAGAAAGTGTTGTTAATTGCACATTTTAAATTTTCCTGAAGGCAGAATTTGGCACTAACTCTTGGGGAGAATGCACTCTAAGTGCAACTCTGTAATACACTGCTGCTTGCTCACTTCTCCTTAAGGCCAATTGGTGTGACTTGTTAAATATTCCCCTTCCCTGGCACCAAAGAAGTGCTACTTCAGATCCAGATCATACAGAACTGTTTTGTTCAAACTCTGCTGATGTTGATGAACATTTTGTATGGATTCACGAAACATTTAATGCTTTCTGAATGCCTTAACCCCATCTAAAGACATAGACTGCTACCTGCAGTACTTTGCTTCCCAAACTGTCCGAATAAGAACCATGACTAAAAAGAAAAAAATGAAAATTTTAAATAGAATATTTCAGAAGCAACAGACCGAGAAGTGCAGTTTCTTTGTGCAATATTTTAAATTTGTATTTAAATACAATATGGCTACCATAAAATAACTGAATAGATAGGGATTAGCTCTATCTAGTGGGCCCAACTGTGTAGGAACCTGAAGATGGAGATAGAGTCCCATCTCCGAAACGTCGTTTTACGTTTTATATTTACTAGACGATGGATAATATCCAAGAAAATTTTTATTCAATTGACTCTTCACCATCGTCAAGAAGTTTTAGATCTGATATACATAAAATAACTGTAATTAAAAATTTCATTATAAGCCAACAAGAAGTTTGTCTCAAAACAAGTGACAATGTGAACTTTTGAAAGTAAAAATGTTGTGCATCCCTGTCATATACAACAGCAATTCTAGTCTTGCGAACAAACCTATCTCTTAGTTTCAAGGGACCATCAGTAACCGTCTGAATTCCATACTCGGTACATTCAGCTTCCTGTAAGCTTATTCCACCACATGACTTCACAGGAAATAATGTCAGTTCGGACAGCTCTCCAACACACTGCCATTTCTTAGGAACACTGTTGGTACTCCTCCTTCTACAGTGCCACCAACTGACCAGTAATGTACACAAGATAGCTACTGACCACAAAATCAGAGAAGAGTTTAGTTCATATATCCTCTGCCCCAGCAATGGAATCACTGTGGATAAAGTAAAATACCTGTTGCTATGGAATAATACATCAACATGTCTTATTACAAAGCAGTGTGCTAAAGCTAAGGTAAACAGTGCTGAAAATATAACAGTAATATTTAAATGTTGTATGAACTTCTGTATATTTTACATAACTTATTTATGTATTTTATTTAGTAATTAAATTGTTCATTTACTCATTCAATTCTAAATGTATCTCAGAATTTCCAACAAGCTGAGAACAAATGTTCAAGGAACTCATGAGATTCCATTTAATGGTCTGGAAGAGGTTTGTTAAGTTGGCAACTGTGTGTTAACATGAACATGGCAAATCAGACCATTATGTGAGAAAGGTATCAGATTCCTACACTTGATGAGCTTCTCTTGAAGCTAAATATAAATGCACAATTAATTAATAAAAATTGATTTCTGGTCAATCCACCATGAGTCCTAAATGATTACAAAATTTCACACACCAGGGTCTGTACAGGAATAATCATCTTACATTCAGTGTCAGCTGCACACCACAATTCTGGGTGATAGAACGTCTCCTACTAGAACTAGAATTGTGCCAACTGCAAGTTTCCAGCAGCAGAATGCTCTTCAATGAGTACATGAGGGTCACATCTGTATTGTTCGAGTCAAAAGCCATCTACTGACTAAGGTTTTATGGGAAAAGATGCACAAGGATGCTGTGTGTTGGACCAAGACATGCTACATTTGTCAGTTGGTTTTTAAGATAACCCATCACATGAGCCAATGACACCCACAGCTTTAGCATGAGAATGTATTTCATCAAATTTTCTCAGATCACTACCACCCAGAGAATATGCCTTTCCTGTGATGGAAAATACTACAACATGATTGTTACAAGGTCTATGACAACAGCCAAGGCAATCAAACAACTCAATATCATGTTCCAACAACATACAATGATTCATGATTCAGAGATGCAACATTTTCCAAATTCCTAGACATACATGGTAACAGCATGTCATGGTCCATTGGTCACGGTAGAAACCGAAAGAGAAGCCCAATATTAGGGCAACATATCACAACCGAGACCATTATTACAGATTCCTGGTACAACATCTAGAACAAATCTGTCTCACGTGCCAACAGCAGTATTTCCAAATTGACAGACAAAAGATTCTCAGTGCCCAAGAAGGTCCAGCAGAATTCAACATGCCCTGATGTGCTTAAAACAATTTCCAGTAAGACTTAATCAGATTGTACATTCAGATAATTCTGCCATACAAATTTTATATAAAGAAAAATGTTTGTACCTACAGAAATTACAGCTCTTCTCTGTCATAAAAACAAGAAAAGAAAAAATGAACTTCTACTGAAATTTGCTTATTCAGCAATCAGAGGGTTACTTATCCTATTCAATAACTGCCTTGCAACTTATACTTGGACGAAATATTTATTCGGCTATGTTAATGTTGTTTTAAATTAAAGGAAATACTTTTATTTAATTTTGTTGTTAAAACAGAAAAGAAAAGGAAAGTAACTATGCTGTTCAACACAGGAGTTATACTGGCACTCCATGGTTTGGTAATAATATATGCTGGTTAATGTATGGAGTAAAGAGATAACAGCAGACAGAATCTGGTGTTGTGCATGTTCCCATTCAGGTGCCACAATAAGGACATACACATGAGACACAGTGAACAAGAAAATGTAAGTAAACCTTAATTAGGTCAGTTAAATCAGGAAGTTCACTTGTATAAGATAGTCTACAGTTACTAGTTATCAGCTGTTATCAGCCTGCAAGACAAAATTAAATATAGCTCAGAACACTTATTTCTAAAAAGGAAGATACCATTACTCAGACACAGGAAAAAGAGAAAGTACATGTATAAGTCTTTATGCAAATTAGTTCCCTTACTGTTAAAATTAAGATGTTGCTACAGCGTTGGTCCAAGGTTGAGACTAGCTAGACCACGAAGGACCAAAAGAGTAGGATTTTATCCTCTCACCTTTCACATGAAGACAGAAGTACAACTAGATGTAATTTTAAATTTAAAAATATATCAATACATGTTACAGATTGTATTTTGTTGTGCGCACAAGACGACGCGCACTGCTAGAGGTGGAAGTTGCCGCTTTGATCCGCCCGTCAGCCTCTCGCTTCCTGTTCCAAAAATCAACGTCAGGGTTCAGTTCTAAGTTGCCGGTATATGATTGTAGGATGTGGTATAAATATGCTTGGATTAATGTTTTCCCCCCCATAACGTTAAACATGTGTTGTTAAAAGTTTTTACAATCGTGTGGTAAGTACCACATGAATAATTCATGCAATGAAGGGATGTAGACTTTTTTTCTGTTGAGAATGTTCTGCAAGGTTATGTTATGTAGTCCTGTTGGTTAGTTGAACACCTCTGACGGTGTAGAAGTTGGAAAATAAATATTGCTGATTTTAGGTAATTAATGATTGTTGGGCAGAAGCAGTTGTGTATGTGTAGAGGAACTGAGGAAGACCGCAAAAAAACATTTGGACATTTCCATAGTGGGTATGCTCCAAATGTAAAGCAGGAATTGATTTTTGCTGTTGAAAAATTTCTGTCTAGTCTTTTATATTTTGTTACGTTTGTGATTACAGATTTGCCATACAGTGACAGCTGAATACCAATCATGGGATTCGACTCTGAATGTGGAGAAGTGCCATTTGAAGACTTTGACCCAGAAGAAATAGGAAAGATCGAACAGGAACATTCAGATAGGATGTCAAAAATGCAAGTACGGCAGGATGTAGATGATGATGTGCCAGTGGTAGTACTGAGTGATTCGGATGATAATGTGAATCAAGTCCTGGATGATGGAACTTCAAAGACTCATGCCTGCCCATATGAAGACTGTAAGAAGGTTTTCAGGAGGTCCTGGTGGCTGGCTAGGCACATACAAGTTCATAGAGGCATGGTATGTTGCTTCTCATTAGATATTGCATTCGCATAAATTTCGAACCCCAGTCGTCCAGCCCGTAGCTAGTCACTATACTGACTGAGCTATCCCGAGATGTGCATGTGTGGTGTGGGAAAATATAAGTTTTTTGAGAATGATCATAGTTTTATAGTGCTGAACACTTTTATTTTGATATCAGGCTAATTGGATTGTGGTCTTCTGTGTTGTGATACCTTGTAGCTTTGTAGATGGTTACTGATGTTGGAAGAGCTTAGCCACATCTTTCTACTCTGATGGTAGAGCTGATAACTTAGAAATGTTGGTAACTATCTACAAGGCTACATGGTGTCATAACCCAGAAGATCACAAACCAAATCTTTGCCACCATTTTAACATTGTTGCCAACAGTTTAACATTATTTTCTACCATGCAGCGTCCCTTCAAATGTGAAGTTCCTGGGTGTGAGAAGTCATACTGCCATTCAAACCATCTTGCACGTCATGTAAAAATGAAGCACTATTCAACACCGATGTACACGCAATTTTACAAGTATGTATTACATGGGCTTACAGTAGTGGTCTATACAGCTTGAATGTTCAATACCTTTGTTTGTTTTTTTTGTTACACATTCTCACACATGTGCTGGTCCTCTTTCAAGCATATGGTAAGGAAATATAATGCTGCTGCAATTTATACTGTGTATTAATCATTTAAGAGCAAACTTCTGGCATGATCGTATATAGGAATAATTCCCAAATTGTTTTACATGGCACCCTCTTTTGATATTGCTGTTGAGAAGTTGGAGTATAAATCCTGGGGTACTGATCAGATTGTGGCCGAATTGATCAAAGCAGGAGGTGAGACACATTCTGAGATACACAAACTTATTTGCTGTATTTGGAATAAGGAGGAAATGCCACAGCATTGGATTGGATGGATCATGGAGAAAATTGCATAGTGATAAACTTCACAGCCTGTACTCCTTATCTGATATTGTTAGGGTGAGGATGAGGTGGGCAGGACATGCAGCATGCATGGGGAGAGGAAGGTGTTTACAAGGTATTGGTTGGGAGTCCTGAAGGGAGGAGACCGCTGGGAAATCCTAGGCAGGATAACATTAAGGTGGATCTTACGGAGATAGGAATCAATGGCGTGTGGCCTGAAGGGAGGAGACCGCTGGGAATCAATGGCGTGAACTGGGTGTAGGTAGCTCAGGGTAGAGTTGAATGACAGGCTTTTGTGAACACTGTGATGAGCCTTTGGGTGCCACAAAGAAAGTGGGTTATTTATTTACAAGTCGAATGTACAATCAACTTTTCAAAGAATTTTGTGCACCATAGAGTGAGTGGCACCCGATTTTTCTGTTAGTTTATATTTGTACTATGAGGTAAATGTGGCCTATTAACCCAGACACCTTCACAGACAAGGGTTTCCTCCCTTCTAGTATCACACATTTAGCAGAAGCACCAGAGAATCATGAGACCATCAGGAACACCAAGGAAGCTTGCAGTTACGCTGTAGAAGAGCAGTCAGATCAGTCCGCTTGTCAATAATTGTATTCTCTTCACAGAAACTCTGGTTACACTAATAATTTGAATCAGCCAAGTAGTAAATCGGAAATATACCAGTTGCTAGAAGGTCTTAAACAATGAAATGGAACTAGTAAGGAAAAAAGTAAAAAAAGATAATGTTTTTATATGTAACAATTGATGATTGAAAGGGAAGAAAAAGAAAGAAAATGGTGAAGGAAGAGAGAACCGACAAACGACTTGCCACAGAAAATGCAAAAACACAGAAAGCGATAACCAAGCCAGTAGAACTGTGATGAAATTTGTAAAAACTCACCCAATGAAGACAATTAGGTGTGGATCTTGCAAACCATGATGACATGTAAATTTCTCCGAATATGAAAATACAAAAGAATTTGTTTGTGATTTATACAACTGAATAAGCATTTTATTTCTATTGTAATATTGTACTGAGAAGTGATTCTCATCGGTTATTTGTAATTCCTTTCACACGATTTCATATGAACATTGTCCTATGATTTTTTACTCTCTCTCTCTTTTTTCTTGTATGTGTGTGTAATCGTGGTACATGAAGGCGTAGTTTTCAGTTACTAAACATTTATAAGTGTACAATGTTACATTTTTAAATTTTTGCCCCCTCACATAAGAGATATCTGATGGGTCAAAAATCTGGTTTTGCATAGTTGGGCTTAACATTATTTTGTGACATGAATTGAATAAGAAGATATCTGTCTTCTGGGTTATTGCGCTGTGTAGTCTGGTCGATGTTAACCAACGTTTCAGAGGTCATACTGCCTCCGTCATCAGGGCGATAAATGAAGCGATGAGTATCCTTGAGCTGGATTTATAGGCCGGGAAGTGAAAGGTGTAGCCTGCCCCGCCCTGATGACGGAGGCAGTATGACCTCTGAAACGTTGGTTAACATCGACCAGACTACACAGCGCAATAACCCAGAAGACGGATATCTTCATACTCACTGCTGTGAGAACCTCAAGTCTTACATGAATTGAATAGTTTGTAACAAGGACATTATGGTAAACATTACTTGAATAAATACAGATTTCATAAATGATAAGTGTTGTCTGAGAAAAATCATGTCAAAATTCAAATGTAGACATTTGCCCCATTCTCTACATGTTTTAATTAACACTTAATAATATAGTTGTGGTAATGTAATATATCTCAAATTATTTTAAATTCACACCTGACTAAAATTTGGCTAAACTGCAGTAAACAGAGTGACTCTTTTTCTCATTTATTTATTTGTTTACTGTTCATGATAAAACAGAAAATTAAGCAAATGAGCAGTTTGAATCAGATTGATATAATGAGGTAGATGGTACTGTTTTTCTGTCACAAAATAAAAGTTTTAGGTTTTCAAGGATGGAAGCGCAATGCAAGTCACTTCCTACTTCAGCTGATCACAGTTTTGTTTTTAATATAGTAAGAGTTGAGAAACCAGATTTGAAAAGGTGAGCAGAAGGAAAGAGAATGATTAAATAGAGTGCTTCTTTTCCAACTTCTGGGTAAATGGGGAGGTATTTTACCAAAAAAACCTTCCAGATTCATGGTTTTAAAGTTATTGTTATCAGTGTTAGCCATGGGTGTGTCAGGTTTGAGCGACCAGATTATGAAATATTCAGTTTAGCAAAATCCAAATTAGTGTGGTTTTACTGTTCAGGAATTAAGAGAGCATACAAAATTAAGTTTCTTTCTTAACATGAGACATTCTGAAAGTACAAGAAACAAGTTTAGGATGAATGGTCAGAAATATGAACCTGATATGCATTATTAGTAGGTTTACATAACGATCTGTTCTGAGAAAGGCAGGAAATTTCTTTAGAAATCTAAGAAAACTCTTAACTCTTTTGTTATCATTATCATTACATGCTTAAATGCTTCCAATTTTCTTGTTTCATGTATAACTTCATTGCAGATTTATCTGAAACAAAAATTTGTACTTCAATTTAGTTTTTCAAATCCAAGCTTTGCACTCTGTAATATGCTACATTCTGTAATCTTTTAGATGTCCTCACCCAGGGTGCTTCAAGGAACTGAGTAATGAGTGTAATTTGAAGCGGCATTACCAACGTAAACATAAACAGAAATATCCATTCATTTGCTATTGCTGTGATAAAGGCTTCTTGAAACATAACCAGTTGCAGGCACATCTATATCAACATACCGGTGTTGCACCATTCAAGTAAGTACTGCAAGGCATGTGTGTGTGTGCATTTCTTATTTTCAGATCTCTCTCCTTATTCTACAATAAAAGGAGTCTTATATTTTTCATTGTGTAAGACCTCGCTAGTCATTACTTTGTGAGTTAAATCTTTTTTGCCTTTATGCTCGATCCATACATTCGTATGTACATTTGTACTGTGCACGTGTATATGTACGTGCGCACACAACCATCCATCTGTCCATCTTTGTTACACTCCTGGTTTCATAAGTTAAAAGACAGTCATACCAATGCAATATATGTGTTACAAGTGCAACCAATACTGTTTTAAAATAACATTTCATGTATTATAAACAAAGGGTCCACATAATTAGTGATATGTTACAAATACATCCACCTATTATATGCAGTAAATAAATTGTACTACCCATTTATACTATATGAAGAGAAGAAAACTGTAATGAATGTTATGACTTATTTGTGAACATTAAAAATTCGTCAGAGTGAAGGCAGTGTGTAATTAAGCATTTTTAATGCTACTTTATGACCGCCACGGTGGTCTAGCGGTTAGAACGCTGGCCTTGTAATCCTGGGGTCTCGGGTTCGATTCCCGGCGGTGCCCGAATTTATAACTTGTGTTGGGCAAGGCCGTGGTCTAGCCAACACAGAGGTTTCCTCCGTGGCATCCCAACAATTACTCCATTCACACAAAGAAGAAGGCAATGGCAAACCACTTCTGGATCATCTGCCAAGAACGTATATGAACAGGTCCCAGTCCGAGAAAAGGATGGAAGGATCCTGTTCATATGGACCTGTCGTCAGACAGAACACTAAATAATAAATAATGCTACTTTAAGTTGTGCCTTTTTATTTAAAATGCTTGTGAGATGTAATGATAAACTGTTGAATGTAGAAGTCTAATCAAGAGACTAGAGATCTTAGCTCTTCCATGTAAATAAATACATATTCTCATTAATAAACGAGCATTTTCGAACTATTTCTGCTGTATGCGGTGTCAACACAAGGAATAAGACGGCAATGCACTGGTAATGCACAGACTTTGACTGCAGTTGAATCTTGCAGAAAAAGGATAAATGCTGTTATTTTAAGAATATTTCAAGTAATTAATTAAAAAAGTATATTTAAATAGTCATATTTTACTCAGTGCATATTAACTGTATTTGAGTAATATCAGAATGATTTTGTAGGTGTACAACTTGTGATACAGGTTTTACTTCACAATCTATTCTTAAACGTCATCAGAAGAGACACAAGACTTACACTTGTGAGTGTGGACAAGAGTTCAAATATTGGACGCTGTTACAAGCACACATCAAGCTGACACATCCTGCAGGTAAGATCAGTTGAAATGCCTTGCCTCTAACCCTAGTTGTCTCAAGTGCTGAATATTTTGGCACTCTTGTTTCAAGTATATGACAAAATTTTGTAACCTGTTATCTTTTGTTTATTTATTTATATTTTATTTAACACTTTTTAAGTATCTCAAACTATGTAGCATTGGATGAGAGGATGATAATGAATAATGAATTGAAATGGATGTGGAAGGAAGTGGTTGTGGCCTAATTAAAGTTGCTATCCCAGCATTTGTCTTTAGAGACTGAGGAAAACCACAAAACACCTATATATTTTTTTTCAGAGTATATCTGTGATATTTGCAAGAAAAGTTTCAAACAAAAATCTAGGCTGCAAGTACACATGCCAATCCATCAGGACATCTCTGAAAGAGAGATAATGCCTTGTCCCTATGACAACTGTCCACGGTAAGTGTATATTAGCAGCATTTCTGTACAGCCTTACAGTGACAGGTGTATTAATATCACACTTAAAAGAATCTCCCTGTGATGTAGCAGATTTCTTCCACTTCATCTCGTACCATCGTAAGTATCATTAACAGAATTTTGTATGTTTTTTTGTGGCACCAGTCTTAGTACGGCAAGACTCCCCTTTTTTAAAGAAGTTATCCGTTCTTTTGTTGTGAAACAAGCAATGCCACACTCATACTTTAAAAGTTAATTCAGTTCAATTAGTGTTTTCAGTCAACAGAGTGGAACAAGGAAGTGATTTGCAAACAATAAATCATACTAAGACTATTCTTTTCTTATGTAACCTATCAAATAGCTCATAGCCCAGAATGCCATGATTCAAATAGTTAATATCAAAGTAGCATTTTCCTTTGAATCCTGCAATATTCAGTCGCAGTGAATGTTTGAAATTGTGTTCATATTTACTCAGAAATCACTGGTATTTAATTTTGTCATTCAGATTTGGTATAACCAGTATACAGTTTTATGCCGAGAGTACAATACTTTCATGTATAGACAGACAGTGACATTTGCCATCTTCCTTCTAAATTCTGTTCACACATTCATGTTGGAAAGAGCTCTTATTATATTACATTCTTGAAAAAAATAGTAAGTAGCCTTATAACAGAAATTTCAGTCAATCTGATGTATTCCACTTCAAAATACTGTTCTAAATCATCGACATGTCTTTAGTGATGTGATTTTACATAATTATTTGCAGTCAACTGAGTATAAAATTAACTTCTTGGCCCTTTGTACCCTTGTGTTTTTGGTGCTGATAGTTACTTAATGATAGTTGATTTATAATTGCCGTTATTTAAAGATGTCTTAGAATAGATTATATGTTATAAATGTCCAACATTTGAAAGGAGGGAAAACTATTCACTGCCAAGTGGTGGAAATAATTTACAGTGGGAGGCAGCAGAGATTATCTTTGTCACAGATATCTCGTGTCACAGATGCAACAGCCAGTTGCTGCAGTCTTTCTTGATGACAGTAAATGAAACAAAGCAGAGGATTAAGGACAGATACAGTGACAGTCATCTGCAGACTTCAGACAAGCACATGCCTCGAAAACTTGAAGGGACGTAAATTTGGATGATTTAGATTTCATTTTTGTGAATGGACAGTCGTGGGCTTCTATATTAATTTCAGACCTGTACCAGCATGCAAAAGTTTTCTCCCAGATATATATATATATATATAAAAAAAATCCCTGGGGTGAATAATCACTGCAAGGAGTACTGCACAAATCAGGTTTTTAAGTGGAGGAAATACCAGAATAAGAGAACCATTTGGATAAATTGACCAGGACCTGTCAAATGACATTGGAGATATATTGCAGAATGAAATTAACTTGTAGCCGAAGAGAGGAAGATTTTTTACTCAGGTGAAATGAGAAAATGTCCAGGTCACTTAAAATAAGCATTTAAACTGGTTTTGTTGTGTGTAGACTGTTACACGATCAAAGTTTCTTGCTTCTTACATTTTTATCTACTAGTTTCGATTTTGTTTTGACTAGGTTCTACTACCAGAAACAGAATCTCAGTCACCACATAAAGTCCAGCCACGAGGGAAAGATGTACGAATGCACCTTCCCAGAATGTGGCAGGAAACTTTGTACGCTGGTAAGTGAAAATGATGTAACTGAAAATCGGTGTTGTAGACTGTTATATCATCATTTAAAATTCACCAGTTTCTGTTTCCAGTGAATTTTCTGTGTTTATGTACCAGTGGGAAATTCAAACCACTACTTCTTCAAATCATTACCACACTTGTTGGTCGACCTTTGCATTGTCAAAACTTACTGGTTTAGTATTTCTTTCACCAGATGGCAGAGGTTTTGTGTGGATTATAAGGTGTTAAAGGGGTGTGCTATTAATTACTATGAAATCCCGAAACATATACATGAAATTGTGTTGTTAATACAGTACTGTCTACCAATTGGGAGTTGGAAAGGCAGTTGTGGTGGAGCAGGTGACCTTGAGAATTCTACTACTATTTTTGTGTAACATAAGCTTTCACTTCAGTTGTACAGCACATGATCTTCTTTTGTCACACTAACACTTGCTTGCAATTGTTTTTGGAGTGTGTAGTAGTGGCAGGGCTGACCACTCACCCCCATCTAGTGCCGAGGTCAAGGAAGAGAGGAGCTATACCGCCTCTCACCCCAAATGCCTACATGGCGTGTAGTGGGACAAACTTTACTTTACTTTAGTAGTGGCAGGCAGTTGAATAAAACTTCTTTACCATCTCTCAGTCTGAATAGTACCTTTGTTACATGTTAGTAGTGACTTGTTGTCTTGTTTCAGAAGTAATGCTTTTGTAACATGTTGAACTAAATTTCCCAGTATTAATATAGAAAGCATAGTTTTGTCACTGTACATTATAAGAGGTTACATAACCACCACGGTGGTCTAGCTGTTAGAATGCTGGGCTTGTAATACTGGGGTCCCAGGTTCAATTCCCAGCGGTGCTCAGATTTACAACGAGTTGGGCTAGGCCGTGGTCTAGGCATCACGGAGTTTTCCTCCGGGGTTTCTCCGTGGCATCCCAACAATTACTCCACTTTCATCATCATCTCGCAAAAAGGGGGTCACAGCAGGAGCGTTAAATGTCGCGGCCCCAATCAAACCCATGTACTGATGGGTCGTGAATCCTGCTAACCACCAAAGCACACCATGCTGAATGGTGTGTACTGAACACAAAAAAAAAAGAGGTTACATATCCATAGACATTTATATGCTCTGGTATAATGGAGAGAGAATGATTGTATACAGTTTTATGCACAGTAATTTAAGTACAGTTTGCAATATTAATATTATAATGTGTAGAAAGCACAGCACAATGAATTCTGTTTGTACATTTGTATGAAAGTTATGAATGTGTTTATCCAACACAAGAGTACATATAAATATCCTTTATAACCTACGGGCTCATCCTCTGTCACTGATTGTACAATTTGAAGTCAAAAGTCACCCAATTTTATGTTCAGTGCTCGACTCTGTAGATGCCAGGAGATAGAATCTGACTGTTATTTACTTGCAGTACCATTTTGAATTTCTCTCTTCAGTATGGACCAAAGGGAAATGATATAAACAGAAATTATAAGTTTTGAAGGTATATTATATCTTCATTAATGTTTTCATTGTAGCAGAAACTGAAACACCACATGAAGTTGCACGATGGAAAGCGACCTCGGCCTCGGAAGGCTCATAAGTCGCGCAAGAGACGACGTGATGCTGGAAAGGTCAAACGAAGCATGGCAGTTTTATTATCTGGTGTAGTTATTTCACATAAAGAAGAAAAAGAATTATTGAACAATAATTCAGACGATGTAGTAATGGTAAATGAGAACAATAGACTAATAAGAAGTTGCAGTACTCTTGAGGAAGCCCCATGTCATCAGTCTCGGGAATGTGAAGAGAATGTGATCCAGAAGAATCTTGAATTTCATGCTGCATCATTACCTAATGTACAGAAAGATGGTGATGTTACAAAAAAAGTGCTGCAGAATCCAGAAGCAGATTTCCGTCTTCAGGTTCCTACATAGTTGGGCCCACTAGATAGAGCTAATCCCTATCTCCGGACTTTTCTTGGATATTATCCATCGTCTAGTAAATATGAAACGTAAAACGACGTTTCGGAGATGGGACTCTATCTCCGTCTTCAGGTTCCTACTCAGTTGGGACCACTAGATAGAGCTAATCCCTATCTCCGGACCTTCCATCGTCTAGTAAATATAAAACGTAAAACGCCGTTTCGGAGATGGGACTCTATCTCCGTCTTCAGGTTCCTACTCAGTTGGGCCCACTAGATAGAGCTAATCCCTATCTCCGGACCTCTTGGATATTATCCATCGTCTAGTAAATATGAAACGTAAAACGACGTTTCGGAGATGGGACTCTATCTCCGTCTTCAGGTTCCTACACAGTTGGGCCCACTAGATAGAGCTAATCCCTATCTCCGGACGATTTACTAGACGATGGATAATATCCAAGTAAATTTTTATTCAATTGACTCTTCACCATCGTCAAGAAGTTTTGGATTTGTATTTTGACTGTTGGTAAATTAAAAATAGATTGCTTATCAGACAAGTTCTCTGGTATTTATTTACTTATTTATTTTGAACTGTTTAAATTAATGTTTAGGAGACTGTAAAATAAAGAAACTGGTTTCCATTCCCAGTAGAGGCAGAATTTTTCTCACTGTAACTCATATTTCTAACTGTCCTGTTCTCCAGTGGGTACAAGGGGACTCTTTCTCATGGATAAGGAGGGCAAATTGTGATGTTGACTAGTCACATTTATATAATGCCAAGGTTAAGAATGTGTGGAGCTGCATCTGCTCCCCTTATTTCATTTTACAGGCTTTGCCATTTAATATGTAAGGAAATTAGCTATATTTCTTATGTTTCAGGAACATTATAATGGGATTGATTCAACTGTTTTTCAAATGGATGTAAAGAAATGTGTATACCTCATGATAGCAGTAATGGAAGAAGTGCTTCCCACGATTAAGACTTCTTGCTTGCAACCATTGCATGACAGTGGACCTCAGGATAAATAGGAATTTTTTGCAGGAGGAAGGATTGGCATATATGTTGAGTCGGTAGTCTCAGATTAATGACTGCGGATGAGGCACCGACCATTGACTCATAAAACAAATTATATTAGAAACATGAAAAGGAGGAAAGATCTAGAATGAAATGCACATTTTATTTGCTGATAACTTGATTTAAGGTAGGGCCTCTCAGCGATTTTCAGACTTCGGGCGATATTCATCCTTTCTTACGGAGTTGCTTGCCATAGGGTTGTAAATGAGGATAATTATCGAAATACCATGGCAATTCATTAAAAATTCTAAATTAAGTTTGTTGTTTTAAACAAGTTCACATATTACTGATTATTTTCTTTAGCAAAATTGCTTTCATTTGATTGTTTCGATATGAGGTTTAATTTTTGTTGTGATTTGCTTGCATCTCCAAGTTTTCGTCAGTAAGATGCATCCTGGTTTTTAATTTGATGTTCTTCACAAGCTGAACAGTTGCTCATGGCGACAGTTAATGGCCAAATGCTATCAGTAACACAATATGTTTTCTGACATCAAGTACCATATATCATCACACAGGGTATCACATTGTTAACAGATGTACACAGACTTCACAGAACACATTGGTAGGCCATATGTGAGCCATGGCTTGAGGTCCCTTGATTTAAACTTGTTTCTCTCTTTATTTTTAGAGATCCATACATTTGTGAACCTCGATCCAAATTAAAGATTTTGTACATCAGTTCATGTGTTCTGACTCAAGCATGTGATGGGGATTTTGCTGTGTTCATAAATATCACATTTGAATATGAAATCTCTTTAAACCTTCATTTTAATAGAAACAAAGCAGCTGTTAATTTTAAGTTTTAGAACTGATATTTAAGGACTTTATAAGTGGCAAAAATTAAATCAGGAAGACATATTCTCTAAATAAAGCTAGGTACTGTGATAATGTTACATGTTTTAATAATAATTTTATTTATTTCCAAAAGTGGGTGTGTAAATTATATAAGGTTGGTTGTAGCATGTATTTATTTAAGGGTTGCCAGGACTCATGTTCATTAAACTTACTTCTCATTTTTATTTTTATACCTATTGTTCCTGTTATTCTTCCTCCTGTTATTACTCTCATTATTGTTGCTATAGTGTTAATTCTTAACAGATTATATAAGATAGCAGTACGAAGAACAAAAATGAGAAGTTGTTAATAAAATCCTCTTGTGCTATCAGCCATGGCCAAAAGCCTTGGCTATTCAAACTAGGGTCTGTTGCTGCTGATAGGTTATCCTGTTAGGCAACTTGTCCCTTGTGAAAAGGATTTTAGTTTGTTGGCTCTCTGGGATTTGAACCCAGAAGGGGCAGGATCACTTTGGCTGATGGCTGCTGTGACTTGAGATTGGCTCCATGATTGCGGAGGGTGGGCTGTGCCCGTTTTGAATAATACCCTGGCATTTGCCTTAGAACAGGAAAAGCATGTGAAACCTCAGTCAGGGTAGCCAAATGGTCAGACCACTCTTGACGGCTTAGCCGTCTTTTCAGGGACAACCTCAGCTGGTCTGCTTAACATCCCCTGGTTGGCCGTGGGTGACTTCAGTCAGCCCTTGGTAGGTCCATAGTTGCTGAACCAATGGGTTTCCCACATCAGCAAATACTTGAAGCTCTCATTTAGTGCTCAGGTACTAAATATCTTTGAAACGTCGATCAGTTTCTACCAGACTGCGCAACAATATCCCAGAAGACATCTTCAGGTTTGAGTAACTGACTACGATTTTATTATTGGAGTTTGGGAGGGCTGTAGGTGGGTAAGTTGGATGGTAATAACTGGTTTTACCGACTGAGCTCTGTGAAGTTGCCACCGTGGTTTAAAAGGTTACCGTTAGTTGAATACCACAGTGGACAGATGGTAGCACACGACGTCATACGGAACGTGTTGCCAACCTCAAGCATTGTTGGTAAATGTCGCTGTACATTTCATAGGCTATCTATGTGTATTCTGTGTTGGGACGTACGGCACACCTTGCATAGGCACAGTTAAGGGTGTTTTCGGTAGATTGGACAGACTTTAATCTCACACATCTATGGTCTCACAGAAATTGACCGACGTTTCAAAGGCACTAGATGCCCAATAACATCTCAGAAGATAGTCATACTTCATACTCACCGCCGTGAAACCTTAACTTTCACCATAAAATATGCAAGATTAACAAACCTGACATTCTGTGTGAATTGTACGTGAGCCTTCCGATTGCTACCATGGGGTCATAGGGTCATTAAGATAAAGATTTGAACCTACTACGTACGACCTTAAAAGAGAATTTTTGTTATAGTGTTGTGCATATGTAGGAATTTTATTTGTTTTATGATTATAACGAGGGATATTACTATATTGCTGTTTATCGGTTGCAATTATGTGATACGTTTTATGTGGTAACACTGTTCATTGACGCGGTTTTGTGGTTGTGAAGGATGGCAGTTTCAAATTTAAGATTGGAAGGATTTTAAGGAAACGCTGAGGTTAGCTGGAATATAATTTATTTATATTTCATAGGCCTAAGCCAAGGATGTAGAACAGGTCATAACACAAATACAATACTTGTTTCTAGTACAATATAAATACATAGTTATAACAGCTATTTACAGATTTTTGAAACCGGTATTACAGCAAAATAATTATGATGAGAAACCACCACCATTATTACTTAAATCTATTTATAATAGTTGAGACTTTTTGGGTGATGTAAATTCTTCTACTGAGTAGAAGGAGTGAGATAGGATATACTCTTTTAACACTAGCTTAAACATTTTTATATCATGATTTAAACTTTTGATAGTAGCTGGAAGATTATTGAATAACTTAATTCCGGTATAGTAAACTCCTTTTTGATATTTACTGAGGTTAGAAATTGGTACATGAAGGTTGTATCTGTATCCTGTTCTTATATTGTGGATATCTGAATTTGTTTGAAATGTTTCTATGTTGTCCACTACAAATGATAATAGTGAGAACAAGAATTCAATTGGTAGTGGAAGAATATTAAAATTGTTAAATAATCCCTTACAAGAAGCTCTCCTTTTAGTGCCCGTTATTATTCTAATGATCCTCTATTGAATGTAAAATACTTTTTTGCTGTTGAATTTCCCCAGAAAATGATTCCATATGACATGATAGAATGGAAGTAAGCAAAATAAACTGATTTTAAAGTTTCTGTTTTCATGAGTGCTGCAACTGTCCTCATAGCAAAACATATCGAGCTTAGTTTAGGGATAATGTATTGAATATTTTTTTTCCATTTTAATTTTTTTGTCAATTTGTAGGCCAAGAAATTTAATTGTTTCTATTTTCTCGATTATTTTATCATCATGCCCTATATTTAGACTTACACAAGACCTGTTATTTATACAGAATATTATGAAATTTGTTTTGTCTAAATTTAATGTGAGTTTATTGGCTTTAATCCATTTGTTCAATCTAGCAAAGACATCATTTATGCAATTTTGGAAACAGTCAATTTCTGGATGTGAAATAATAATATTAGTATCATCAGCAAAGACTATAGGTTTAGATTGAGATTTGGTGGTTGGGGGCAGATCACTGATATGTACGAGAAAAAGCAGAGGGCTAAGTGTATTGAACCTTGAGGCACCCCGTGTTTTACAATGCCCCAATTTGAGTAGGTGCTATCATTTGAATTTGATGATTTCATTTCTACTTGTTGCTTTCTGTCATGAAGGTATGATTTAAACCACTGACCAGCTATATTTTGAATTTCATAAAAATTTGGATTAATTATTATACAGAATGAAGACAAAGTTATGTTTCATTGTGATAGGGAAGAAAGATATATTTACCATGTGGAAATACTTGTTTCTATAATGTGACTCATTTAAGTATCAACTGTTCTTGTTGGAGAGATATCAAATGAACTCCAGAAATTATTATTTGTTCTTCACATGACAACTTTCCTGTATATAGGGAGATTGGCTGAATGATTAGTAACAAAGAGAGTGGTAGGTAGATAAGTCAAGAAAGGTGGTCAGGAAGACTGATAATATTTTATATTTTGTTTTATGCTGGTTTACTAAAAGTAGAGGTTTGAATTTGCCGGTCTACAGTGTAAGATATTACATTTTATAAATGCTTTTGTGAGTTGTATGTGGTACTCCTTTTGAGCTGGCTACATTTATTTTGATATTTCTTTAATTACAGGTTCCTATGAATTTGGCATTGAAGTAATATCACATAGAATATTTTGTTTAATAATCATGGGGTCGGACTCTGAATGTGAGGAAACATCACGTGAAGTGGTTGATACAGGAACAGCAGCAAAGATAGCAAAAGAAAATGCAACGGAAACAAATGAAAAGCAAACCGTGGAAGGCGAAGCATATCCAAATGAAGAATGCAAACAGGTATACAACATCCTGTAACTGTTGGTTATGTATATTCATTGTTATACTTGCTAAAATATATTGCATCTGTAATCATATTGTTTTCATAAAGATGACATAGTGTTAATGGTCTGTGAAGTTAGTTGTGATATTTATTTGTGAACTATGTATGCATTTTTTCATATAATAACACAGGCAAAAAAGGAATGGAACTTTACCTGTGCATTCTATGTTCCATTACTGGACTAAATGTTGCACCCTACTTTGTATTTGATGTGTTCCTAGTACACATTTCACCAGGGAGATCAGCTGTCTTGTCTGAAAGTGTTGTGGTTTTCCTCCAAACAAATAGGGGGTTGTACTTCAAAATAGGTCTTTCACTGACACCCACATATTTCTAAAGCAATTTTGTGCTCTTCTCATTTCTTATTTGACTCAGTGTCTTAAAGTAAAGTAAGAAGGGAACCTCCATCTAGTGATGAAATTGAGGTTAGAGCTATGCATCCACTTTCCCATATAGCTTCACGGTATTGTGTTTATGAAGCACTTTTACCTTTAAGAAGGGAAATACATTAAGGTAAGCATTGAATAAATGTGACCCTTCTTTTACTTAATTATGTATGCTACATTACATGAGATGGGATAAAATAGACAGATGTTTTGATGTAATTTAGGAAATGCTTGTGCCTAACTGATGTTAGTATTTTTCATTGTATGTACATATAACATTGAATGACAGCTGGGCATTATAATCCATTTTAAATATCTGCCTATTCTCTCTCTCTCTCCCTACTATATATTACATTGACTGAATCTGTGTTGTATAATTTTGTTCTGCTTTTGAAACAGAAGACCTTCTCAGATGGCAGTTTTGGTGATAGTTCTGTGGACAGAATGCTGTTTTAATGTATTGTAGAGGTTTGATGTTCACACCTTCAGCAGAGCAATCAGTAAAAAGTATCTGCTTGACAGAATAATATTCAAGCCACAAAGGCCACACCACTCAGCAAATGTTATTGCTGTTAATAAGCGATATTGAGTAACAGTGTTTTTCAGATATTTGATGATGCGCCTAGGTGTCCCCAAATGTGGGCACAATCAAGCAGCACACATTACAAACCTTCCTTTCTTTTGTCTTATCCCTTTACCAGGAATGCAGTATTGTGTTAGTTTACTGATGTGATTAAAAACAAGAACAGACCTGGCATTCCAGCTGTTGAAAGCGCTTTCAGAGACCAGAATTTTTTATTAAATATTTCCATATACAATTACCCATTTATGAAACATCCTATTATATATTTCCAGTCAGCCGCCACGGTGGTCTAGTGGTCAGAACACTAGCCTTGGAATCCTGGGGTCCCGGGTTCAATTCCCGGTGGTGCTCAGATTTATAACTTGTGTTGGGCAAGGCCGTGGTCTAGGCAACACGGAGTTTTCCTCCAGGGGCTTCCCCGGTTTCTCTGTGGCATCCCAACAATTACTCCATTCACACACAGAAGAAGGCAATGGCAAACCACTTCTGGATCATGTGCCAAGAACGTATATGAACAGGTCCCAGTCCGAGAAAAGGATGGAAGGATCCTGTTCATATGGACCTGTCGTCAGACAGAACACTACAAAAAAAAAGTACAAATAAATAGTGTTCCATTTTCTTAATCTTACGTAAGGAACAAAGTTGTTTAACAAGTAACATCATTAAAATCCCAGGCTCTAATTAAAGTTTTTTCATGTCTTATAGCCTATCCACAGGTGTATGATAACTGGTTGTGAGAAGGCTTACTCTACTGAACAGGAACTGTTTCACCATGAAGTAACTTGCTGTAAAGAATCAAGTACGTATTGTATAGGAAATGAGCACTTGAACATTTGTTGCTTCTTGTATTATAATGTCCAATACTAATTGTTGTGGAAAGTGTAGTTAGTTAGAGGTATGGCTCCTACTCATTCTTAACCTCGGCATTAGATAGGGGTGAGTGGTCAGCGTCATGTTCTGTCCACACATTACCCCCAGGAAAGGACCCCGGTACCCATTGGGTGGGTCCCAGAGTTTATCTGGATGCAGAGGCTAGGGGAAAAATTCCTCTGCCCACATCGGGGATTGAATCCCGGCTGTCCTGTCCATAGTTAGTCACTATATTGACTGAGCTACCCCGGCTTTGAAGCTTGGAGGATAGTATCATTTATTGCCCATTAATATTTGTGCAAATTTGACAAAATGACGTAATTTTAAGTTTTAACAGAATTACAGCACCAATAAAATAAATATGTATTAAAAATATTATAGATCTACAATTTAAGGGCAAAACAATGTGAATCTGATCATAGGCTCCATAGTTATTGCAGTTTAACTTCGTGAAAAATAGCTTACTTGAAATTCTCCTTTTGTGTATGCTTCCTGAAAATTGATATCTGTGAAATAATGATATCAATGAAGCTCATTGTTTGTGTACTACTTTTATAAGAAGTCGCACATTAAGACCAACAAGTGCCATTAAATTCTGTGGCAGTGATGCAACGTGTATTTCTTGATTTGACACAGAATGACCCAAACAGTAGACTCGGGTATGCAGAAGGATAACATTGAAATGGATCTCAGAGAAACAAATCAGTCTGTGTTCAGTGGTTTATGGTGTATGTTTTGGTTCCATAATACCAAGAAATCTGTCATAAAATTTGCTCTCGAATATACCTTCTGGCAGTGAATTTAGTTACAGTGGTCACGCTGGCCTTGTAATCCTGGTGTCTCGGGTTCGATTCCCGGCGGTGCCCGAATTTATAACTTGTGTTGGGCAAGGCCGTGGTCTAGGCAACACGGAGTTTTCCTCCGGGGGCTTCCCCGGTTTCTCCGTGGCATCCCAACAATTACTCCACTCACACACAGAAGAAGGCAATGGCAAACCACTTCTGATCATCTTTGCCAAGAATGTATATATGTATGAGCAGGTCCCTGACAACCTGAAGAGGTTGGAAGGATCCTGTTCATAATATATGGACCTGTCGTCAGACAGAACACTACAAAATAAAAAAAGAGTCACCATGTAAAATTTTCAGTTACTTAGTGTTGAATTTCTTTGATCCATTTACACAAATTTCTGCCATTTAGCATTTCCTTCAGTTGTTTTTAAGTAAATCATTAGTCAGGAGAACATTAAATGGTGCTTTCACTGTAGTTATGTGTATGTGGGTATCTTGTTTCTGCTTTTCATATAATTTTCTTTTTACAGACTTTACCTGTGATACATGCAAGGAAAGTTTCAAGAAAAAATCAATGCTTCGAATACATATGTATCTTCATCAAGAATTATCAAAAAGGAAAAAGTTTTCGTGCCCGTATGACTGTTGTCCGAAGTAAGTCCTGTATTATATCTTCAACATAAATTGATACAGAGAATAGAGTAATATACTGTTTCCATGTAGGGCAAAGTTTGACTGCTAGGAAGCCTACATGTAATTTGTGTTGATTTCTATATGCAGAATTTGCCGCTGGTTAATCTGTTTTTATACTCTGTCATGAAAGGCTTTTCTTTTATAAAATATGTTCACTGTCATAAGGACTTGTGTGTTTCATTGAAGGTTTATTGGTCTTCCTTTTTTCTTAGATTTTACTACGTGAAAGCAAGCCTCACTTATCACATTAAATCTGTCCATGAAGGAAAGAAATTTGAATGCATCTATCCAGACTGTGGGAAGAAGCTGTCCACCAAAGTGAGTAACATTTAGCATCCTGCGTAGTTTGTACTTTGAGAAGTTGATAGACCTACAATGAAAAGAAAATGCTATTTTCAATTACATCAATTGATTCTGTTATGGCATATTTGTATCCTTTCATGTTACTGTAGTGAACCTTCTTTGAGACAGCTGTGATTGATCACCGGTGATGTATTTTGCCTTCAAAAAGTATCAATGTAGGGGATTCTGTTATTGCTGAAATCTTCATTAATAGTTAAAAATCTGTAATGTTGAACTGCAGATTCTTGTATTTCATGACCTTATACACTATATATATACAAAATATACAGTAGAGTTCCAATTATCCAACCTAAATGGGCCTGAAGGATGTTCAGGTAATTGAAAATATCAGATTATACAGAAGACTATTGAAAAATATATTGGTAAATATCAACTCAGTTTGTGATATTATTAAATTATGAAAATAATACAATACAGCATCAGACGAAAAAACACAAACAAAAATAATATTTAACATAATGTAAATTTGTAATTTAAAGTGATGGGTATTTGCTTTTGAGCCTCCTTCCTTTTCTTTGTGGCAAGGTCACACCAGCACCTGAACAGTAGAGCGTCTACAGCAGTTGTCCTGTTGTTCAGTGTAAGCAAGTGCAGTCTTAGTATTAGAATTCAATCCGTCACTATGAGTCGTTCTATTAGCTTTCTCTGGTCCTTTGTTATAGTCTTTTAAATCATAATCATCTGCATGATTCACAAGATCTACTGTGTCATTATCTTCTTCTTCTTCTTCTGTGGCTCTCTGGTCCGTATTCCGACCATGGCCTCCTTAATTCTCCTCTTCCATTCAGTCCTCTGTTAGGTCCATCTGTCCGAGGCTTTGATTGAGGTTTAGAAACATCTGCCTTGTTACGGCACAAGGTTGTTAGCCTTGCGACCAACCCCCAACCTGGAAGACCAGGGTACCTGTCTTAGTCTGACCTCTCCCCCTCGACCAACCAGTAGCTATGCTACCACCAGCTCTGTCACTGAGGTACTCAGGCCCCACCATCACGACAAGGTGCAGATACCATTAAGCGGGGACTGTGTCATTATCAGTCATAAAATATAGCAGTTGCTTGGTGGGTAGCTGTGATTCATTTTGCTGCATGTTGATTTTCCTTCATAAAATAGAGCATTCCAGCATCGTATGTCAGATAAATGTTGGATAACTGAAGGCCAGATAATTGGAATTGTACTGTACATTATTTGCACATTACAAATCAGAAGAATAATTGCGTGGACAGTATAATTTAGTTCAGTTCGTTATTAATCAAGATTTTTACTATGTTATTCCAAACTGTTAAAGATATATAAGCATAAATAACGAAGGAGTCATTTGATATTTGTAATCGTAAAGGTTTAACACGTCTTTAATTGTTCTGTTTCCTTAACTAGGCATCCTTTTACCACCATATGATGGTGCATGAAAGAAAAGAATTTCTACCTCATGAAACTGTGTACTCTGTCATGCCAGGTATGTAAGACCACTCCTTCTGTGTTTTGATTATAAAATGTAGGAGATACGACAGAAACCCATTCAGTTCAGGTGGACACTAAAATTTATAAGTTGGCACAGCTAATGATACTGACATTTTTCTTACAAAAATGCTTGGGTAAGAATTTAAAAATTTTAAAATTGCTTTGTGGAAGTTGCAAGTCTTTTGAAAACACAAAAATTTAATAACAAACTGTGATAATGTTATTCTGTTATTTTAATTTTGCCGACATCCTTCCTTGTATATTTTGGTACCTTGCATGTCAATATATGACATCAGGTTATGATAATACTGCTGGTAACAGGTTAAAAATCAAAATCTCAGGAATTGTTATCCAAAAAGGGGTTCCCCATCTTAAAATTAGATGGACATTCAGTGGTTCTGTTGGTACCCCAAAAGAAATTTACACTTTTGCTTCCTGTGTTATTGTGCTGATTATTGCATTTTACGCTATTTTTGCATCATATTAGGAACATGTTGAGAAACTAATTATTATAATCTTGGTGCTTTTTATCTCAGTGCAAGTTTGAACCTTGTGCCTGTCTCATTTACAGAAATGTCTTCCATTTCACCATTGTAACTCTCATTTTTATTACCATAATTACAAAATAATAACGGCATAAACAAAATAGAAATTATAATAAATCAGTACAGGTAGTTCAGTTGGACTTGAGCTATGACCTTGAGTTTTTCTCCACTCAAGTTCACACTGCAAAACTGAAAGCCTCAATTCCTGTCCCCCTGAGGTAGCTGAAATTTGGCACAGGGGAGACTGGGTTCCTGTGCCATAATTTTTGTTGTTTCTTTATTAGTGTTCAACAAAGGAAACCTTTATAATCTCCATGGAGATATGAACTGTATTGGATGAACTCTAGAACACTTATTAATTAAAGACAAATGTGAATATTATGTATATCATTTCTTCTTTCTTCTTGCAGAGGTGATGTGTGATACATGCAAGAGAAATTTCAAGACAAAGAGAGGTTTGGAGAAGCATATATCTGATCACCAAGATATGCCTGAAAAAAACCCATTTATATACAATAATTATAAGGAACATTTAACTAGTGAAAAAGACACACAGAGGCATAAGTGTGCTCAGAATGGATTTCCTTGTGATATATGTAAAAACGTTTCCATGACAAAGATACACATGGAGAGACATGCGTCTCGTCATCAAAAGGAAGAGTTGTTCTGTGATATGTGCAAGAGAAAATTAAAGACACAGGAAAGCATGCAGAGACACATGTCTCTCCATCGAGGAAAGGGGTTTCCCTGTGACGTTTGTAAGAAAATGTTTACAAGAAAGGAAAACATGCAGAGACACATGTCTCTTCATAAAGGGGAAGTATTTCCGTGTAATATATGCAAGAAAATATTAAAGACAAAGGTACAGCTGCAGACCCACATATCTCTTCATGGAAAAGGGTTTCCTTGCGTTATATGCAAGGGAATTTTTAGAACTAAGGGGAACATGCATAGACATATGTCTCTTCATAATGCAGAAGAATTTCCATGTGATACATGCAAGAGAATATTAAAGACAAAGGAACAAATGCAAAAACATATGTCTCTTCATCAAAGAAAAGTGTTTACTTGTGACATATGCAAGGAAATATTCTCAACTAAGAGAAGCATGCACAGACATATGTCTCTTCATAAACAGGAAGAATTTCATGGTAGTATATGCAAGAAAATATTGAGGTCAAAGAAACACGTGCCTTGTCGTCAGAGACAAGTGTTCACCTGTGATATGTGCAAGGGAAGTTTCACAAGAAAAAACATAATGCGAAGACAAGTTTGTCTTCATCAAACGGAAGTGTTTCCCCATGTTATGTGCAAGAAAAGATTTAAAGAAATGGCTGCAGTGCAGAGACATATGACTGACTACAAAGAATCATCTGAAAATACAACATTTAATTTATGTATATGCAAAAGATGCTTCAGATCAGAATCATTCACACAGAAAGGTATATCTCTTAATCATGAATTATCTGAAATGGAAGAATTTACCTGTGATATTTGCAGGAGAGTATTCAAGAAAAAGAGCAATCTGAGGAGACACTTGTTAATTCACAAGAAAGTGTCAGATAGAATGTTCTGTCCTCATAGTAACTGTTCAAAGTAAGTATTTCCAAAGTGTAAAACAATGACTTAAGGACTAGAATGTTCGATTTTATGCTCTTCGTGTATATAGATTTGATTGTCACAGAGTCTGTGTTTTTGCAGTCAAACAAATGCGTTACACACGTTCTGTCAGTTACACAAGCTTCCTTACATTAAATATTTTTTCCATGTCATTCAGTACTAACCTTCTCTCTGTTATGCTTGGACATGAGGCCGCAGACTTCGCACAGAGATGAAGCGTGTCTTTTTAATGCCATCCAAACAGTTAATTTACCCATTATTATTAACTCTTGTGAGTAGAAAGTGAATCGGTGTTTGATGTATTCATGGTGGTGAGAATTCAGAGTGTGGAATTTTAGATTGTAAAACACTGTAGTATTCTGAAGGTGAAGATTGCATGTTTCTTGAAAATATTGGTACCACCATAATTCAAGAATGCAAATTGTCATTTCCAGTCATCTGACATGTTAAAAACACTCATAACTCTAGTGATGGCATTACTTCTCTCCTTGACAATCAATTACCAAGTCTCTTTGATTGTACCTCTCAGTTGTATGAATTCATCTGCCCTAACATACTACCTTTCTGCTTGATGGTCAGTTCCCTAATCTCTTGGAACAGGGTCTCCTTTCAGTTCATCTGCACCCAGTGAGGTTTATTTTTTTCCCCTCTCCGAATTTGTCTCTTCACACTGCCTACCCCTTTAGGACATAAACATCCCACCACTACTCTTGCAGTTGATGCCTGTGATCTGTCCAGTGGCAATAATACCAGTGTAATTTTACCATCATCAGGTGGGAAACAGAAGAAAAAATTTGCAGCATAACATTTTTCCTCTAGCCTCTGCGTCCAGACCGATTCTGGGGCCCACCCAGCCTCGTATCCAATGGATAGCGGGATCCTTTCACAGGGATAAAGCGTGGCTAGGGTGTAATGCAGATCACTCACCCCCATCTAATCCCAAGGTCAAGAATGAGTAGGAGCAATACAACCTCTCCCCCCAAGTGCCTACATGGCATATAGTGGGACAGCTTTACTTTTTTACTTCGGACTTCTAAACACAGTCAGAAATAAGGAAGCTATTCTGGAGCAGTACACAATATCCTTTGATTAAAAACAGAATTATGTATTTGGAATACACATGTCTTGTCTTGTTTTTCCTAGATCCTATGCAAATAAGCGGAACCTCTTGTGCCACATGAAGTGTGCCCACAAAGAAAATAAATGTAAAAGCACTTACATCGATCATTGCAGGAAGCTGGCTTCAAAAGTAAGTAACTTTGGGTATTGATTAAAATATTCTGTTGGTTTAATGTTGGACTGTTAATTCACAGCTATACCATATCAAATGTTGAGAATTATTGTTTCAGCTTTACATTTTCTTCTTAGCAGATGTAAAGAAATAGTGCCCTATTTACCATATTTCTTTATGTAAATTGTGTACCCTCCTTCTTTGTTTTGGAAGAAGTAGGAAATTGATAAATCCTCATATATTTCACATATTTCTTATGTATGAAAGATGATGACAAAATTGTTGTAAGCAATAGTAGCAGGTGTAAATTGAGGTTATGTGGTTCAGTTCTGTGTGGCCATAACCTTTATTTCACATGCTCTGCTGCTTGACTTTGGATGTGATGTGCAGTGCCAGAGATAGAGATCAGAGAAGGATCTTGCCCCTGGATTTGGTGATTTATGATTTAATTTGTTCAAACTTATTTCATAACATTCAATTAAAATGTGTTATGAAATGTAACAAAGTTTGATACAAATGTGAGGAATTTTAACAGGAAAAAATTCAGCCATCTCATATTAATCTTTACCCTTTACTGGGCCTACATGTTTTTCCAAAGAAATATTTCATTTTTATGGACAGATCAAGTACAGAGTAATTTTTTTTCTTCTGATTGACCATTTTCATGAGCGCTTGTGTAAATTACACATGTAAATTTCTGGTCATTAGTTTTGGGATATAGTGCGTATGAATTGTGTAATGAACTGTGTTTTAAGTTAACATTTTCCTGGCGATTAAAAAAAACTGCAAAAGTAGGTGCACATAATATGACTTCACCATATATATGTTTGGACTTTACTGTCCATATTAAATATCAGTAATTTTTTTATTTGAATTCCAGAGAAGTTTGCTGATTTTCTTTTGTTTCGCCATGTGTTAAAACTTCAAGGAGTGTGAATTGTATTTACATATTCTTTATGTTTGCTTTGACAAGAATACAGATACCAAATTTAATAATAATACTTTTAAGTTAAAATGTTATAGGTGGTTGCTGCACCTCAGGCCAGTGCAAAGGAAAGGAAACAGATGCAGGATACTGAAAATCTGCCTTTATTGTTAACTGTTGCATCAGAAAAATTGAAACAGATGAATGAAGTTGTGCAAACACAAGGTGAAAATCCATTCACATTAGTCACTGCATCACAGAAATATAAAAAAAGAAAAGAACATCTAAAGAAGAATGAAATACAA